TTTGATAAGTCGTCCAATTTGAGTGCGGGAAGAAAACAATTGCATTACATAAAGAAATTTTTGAACTTCCGATTCTTTTAATTTTTATGTCGAAAACAGTTTCTAATTCTGGAGCTGCAACAAGATCTACATATTTCGATGTCCATTGAACAAAAAGTGGAATTGCTGCAAAAAATAGATAAAGATATATGTCTCAAAATTATGCGAGCAGTATGGCATGTAAAATTATATGACAAGAAAACAGAAAAAGGAACTTTTTGTATTTTTTGTGGATTCCAACACCCTACACGCAATGAATAACAGAAAAATTATTCGTTATGTGCAAGCTAAAATATCTCACTAAGAAACAAACTTAAAAAATGAGTGCACATATTCGTCAGATTGGTTAACAAAATTTTAAAATCGCCACAGTATAAGTAATTAAGAATTTCAGGTGAAAACGTTTCAGCTGATACTGAACAAGTTCATTGAACTTATTATTAGTTAAAGGTTATCTCCAAAGCAAATTACATCACCGATGAAACTGGTCTTTTCTGACAATATGTACTGCAAAATACATTGGCAACCTCTATAGGAAAGGCTCCAACTTGTGCCAAAGATTCCAAAGTGAGACTAACAATTTTAGCATACACAAATGCTGCAGGAACACACAAGTGAAAGTTTTCGTAATCGGAAAAAATCATGACCTTGAGTATTTGAAGAAGTAGAGTTTCCCCGTTATATATCGTGCAAATAAAAGAACACGGATGACACAACTGTTAATGAATGGTTGATTTGAAAATCATTTCAGACCTAAGGCTTGGCAGAATTCGGTTGGTTTACCGAGGTCTATAGGTCGTTTTACCTGATGACGCAAAAATTGTCGTGATTGTAGACAACTGTTTGGCTTACTTCCCTTAAACTTTTAGTGAAAGATAATGTATCCAAATTATTCTTTCCTCCAAATTTTATGTCCGTCATTCAGCCTATGGATATCGGAATAGCGCGCATGCTGAAAATGCAAATATAAAGAAAAATTTTTAAATCCATGTTAAATTTCTTGAATAATGGAGAATTCATTCAAGAATTTTTAAAATATTTTAGCGTAAAATTCTCTTTGTGGAGCATCGCAAGATTGTGGGAGGATGTTACTCCAGATTATTTAAAGTCTGCTTGCCATAATTTATGGCCAGCTAGTATATTTCATGGTGAGGATGAAAATGACAGCCGTGAATGTGAAGGTTTTGGGATATCATAATCCAAGAGATAATTTTTGAATTAATGGCTTTAAAATGTGGTTACATTTTTAAAAAATGTGGAGAAATGGCAATAAATGAAAATGATATAACAGAAGTTTTTCATTGCGATGACAATGCCCCAATTATCAATAATTAATGGACAGCAAAATCTGCAGTATGGTTCTAGAAACAGAAAACACTGCTACTAACAGTGTAGAAAATCACAGAAAAGTTATTGAAAACGAAAAAATTTCAATTAGCAAGTTAGTCGGAATTAAAGAGAAAATATTAGCACAAAAAAAGAAACTTAAATTGAAATAAAAGTCTAATAAAGTAAACATATAAATATTAAGTTTTTTTTTTGTAAATTTTTTTTACCCTTTAGATGATAAATGCTTCAATATTTCATAAATCATGATTTGATATTTCTAATTTTATAATTTCTAAATGGCATCTTACATGTTTTAAACTGATGATCTAATATCAGAAAAAATCCAAATTCCGGAATCGTCGAAGTCCCGACAAGTCTGGATGTCGGACTTTTTACTGTATATATATACATATATTAATATTTCATCAAACTTAATAATGGAAGTTAAAAACTGTATGCTTAAAACTGTGTTACATCCTGTTTAATAAGTCCTGTTTCTCTATCAAAATAGCAAGTTTCAGTATATGAAATGGGCACTGTCCCCATAGTTTTGAAAGAAGTAAACTATTAGCCTTTGCTAATTATTATATGTCTATTATGTTTTACTTTCCATGTCATGCTCTAACAGTGAATGCAATTTTAAGCAATTAATTTTCATTATTTACATTTTAGCATTTATATGTGTTAATTAGATATATTTGAATATATCTTATTTATTTGATATTCTTAGAATCAAAAGATTTTTTCTGCTAGTAGTGCTGAAGTTAATGGTTGCATCTGCAATAAAATAAATCTAGTAGTAAAAGTGCAATATGCTACACTTTCATTTACCTTGGAAGTGGTGGTGGTGTAACAACTTCATCAGGTACTCCATTCATATCTTGTGCCAAACGCAAAGCAAGTTCATGATCACTATGTTCTTGGTGCAATTGTTGCTGCCTATTAAATATTTAATGAAGAGATGATCAGAAAAAGTAATATAAACTACAGAAGCAAAATAAACTGTTTCAGCTTTTCCTATGAAAATTAATAAACCTGAGATTTTATTGAACAAACAAAGAAATACAGTCTCGTTTAATAAATTAAATACAGAGCATACATCTCTTTAATACTATTAAACACAGAAATCTGAGCATGAAAGGCAACACAAACCTTAGAATGGCATTATTTTCACATGGGGGGAGGGAATTAAACAGTTCATACATAAAGTATGAGAAGCTTTTAATAATAATAAAACATAATATTTGCTTTAAATTATAGTTCTTTTAAAAATAATAAAACATAACATATGCTTTTAATTATATTTCTTTTAATAATAGTAAAACATAACATATGCTTTAAAAAATATTTACTATCAAAATTATGCATGTATTAGTAGAACACAGATTTAAATAACTTATATAAAAGACCTTTATATACAGAAATAAATAATACATACAAATCTGGTCAGAGAAACTAATAATACACTACAATACAGATTCCAAAAAAAAAAAAAAAAAAAAAACTGAATGGAGATTTTGAGAAAACATTTTTAGTATAAGCTAGAATAGTGGTTTTTTAACATTTTATGCTGCATGTACTCTCTGGAAATATGTACACAGAGTCACAAAATTCTAAATACATTAAATCAAAACAGAGGTTCACTAAACATTATTTGAGTTCAAGCTGTTAGATTATATTAACTGTCATGTTACTCATATAAAAAAATATTTCCACCAAAGTGACAGCTTAAATAAGGTAAATATGAAAGTTACATGCAGATTTATTGAAAAAGCATGCCACATACAGTTGAATGGCTCTTAACTAAATTCTCATATGTGGCTGTTTTCCTTCCTTTTGGATTTATATGGAGACCTCAACTACACGTGAAGGTCAGAATCTAGATTCTCTTTTAAAAAGGTAATCGTGATTTGAAAAAAAAAAAAAGAAAGAAAGAAAGAAGCCAAGGGAAGAAATTTTTTAAATGTAAGAAATCTTAGTTGTAAAATTAAGGCATGAAAAAAAAACCATAATTTGTAGAGACATCAAGAATTTTTGGAAGCAGGAGACATGAAAAACGAGCAGTGCCCGCACTGGGACTTGAACCTGGACCTCACGAAACCGTGCAAGGTGTGCCAACCATTACACCATGAACGCATGCTGAAGGAGGAAGAAAATACTTTATATACTCCCCTTTTTAACCCTTTGCAATGCAAAGTCAACCTTTGAAACCACATATTAAGAAATTTTTTTCTCAGTTGTGCAGTGGTTTTTCTGTATTAATACATTTTTTAACACTCAAAAGAACCAACAGCTGGCAGCACGAAGCAAACTTTTTTCTTTATCAATTTATACGTGCTTAAACTTCGGACAAACAAAGAGAAAAAATTTCAATTTTTCTCACTAACTCCATACAAAATGCCTCTAGTTATCCAAGTATAACTTATAATTTTTTTATTTACATAGTCTTTTATTTGTAAAAACACTAATATCGAGACAAATCAGAAATAAATTTTGCATTTTTTTTTATAATTCAACAAGTGGTTTTCTGCCGAAACCACTGCCCTCTTAGAGCTAAAACGTTCCTATGTATTTTCTGTTTGCTAAAGTGTAATGTGATCTGTAATACGATCGTAGAGCTAACACTTTCCTGTGTATTTTCTAATTTTTAGGGTATAATGTGATCTCTGTGTTTCACAAGAGGGGGAGTGTGTTATAAGTTTGGGGAGAAGGTTGCCCTTTCCTTTCAGAGAAGAAAAATAAATAAAAGATTCAGCAGGAACTTTTCATTCTTTTAGCCTCTTTTCCTAACAATAGCTGTGTTTTTCTACTTTGTACCATTATGTGATTATCAGAAAGGCATCAGATGCTTTCAAAAGTTTCATAATTTGTGAAGCTGTGTGAATATGTGAGTAATAACATATATTTTAGATAACTTCTACATACTATTTTTGATGAAAATACGAAGATGGACTGTTATATATTTTACACTTTTAGAATTTACTTAGTACATTTACTGATTCAGAATACCTTCTTATGAAATTTCCTCTTCAAATAAGATCAAAATAAATAGTATTATTTGTACTATATTTTTGAATTATGGAGTTAACTTTCTGAAATTACGTTCTTACTAATGTTTTGGGGAAAAAAACATACATAATTATACTTATTTGTATTATTTTGCTGTAAAAATAATCACTGCCCAAAAAGTTTGTAGATTTCATGCTCTACATGGGTAGTGGTTTCACTCCTACACCACCCTTCCAAGGTGTGAAAAAAAATTTTTTGACACATTTCACATTTACAAAGCTCAAAGGTACTAGTTATCAATTTCACTAAAGGCTGAAAAATGTTCAACGTGCCCCTCAAAGAGTTAAAGGGCGACTAGGAATTAGGTGACTCAGTGGCCAAATCCTGGTGGTGAAGAATTATCATTCGCCATCTTTTCAGTTCGGGTGCCATGGTAGAGACATTAGGAGTTTTTGGACGCAGAAGACATGAAAAATGAGCAGTGCTCTTGCTGTGACTCAAACCTGGACATCTCGAATACCTTCCGAGTGTGCTGTTATACCCCGACATGGTGCTGGAAGGAGGGAGGAATTACCTTATAGATTAAAGGAGAAATGTGCTCAACAAATCTCAAAATGTTCATCCAAGGAAAGTTAGTCACCATGATGCAAGAAATCTTCAAAGCAAAGCAAAGTAAAAAAAAAAAAAAAAAATCCTAAAATGAGCACTGCAAAGTACACTTTGCAATGGCAACAGAGTAAAAGTAAATTCAGAAACTGCGTGTAGAATTCTTCAATCAGTGGGATTTAATGGCAGAGTTGTTAGAACAGAACATCTGATCTCATTCATCTCAAAACTGATAAAAATTACTAAGTTTTGTAAATAAACACTTAAACAAAGACTTTTTTTCAAAAGTGCTATTTACTGATGAAAGTAAATTCAATGTTTTTGGAAGTAATGGTCATGGAAAGATGGGCAATAGAAAATGCAAAAATTAAACCAGATATTTTGATACCCACTGTTAAACATGGCAGAAGGAGAATACTGGTTTGGGGTTCAATGGTAGCCAGCTGGAAGAGGTAAATTAGTTTTCATAGACTGCATTATGGATCATTCCATGTACTTAAAACTATTGTAAAGTTATCTGCAATCATCTGCCGAATAATCAAGACTAGGAAGCAGATGATGGTTCTTTCAACAAGATGATGACCCAAAACATACCACTCTCACTGATAGAGAATGGCTCCTCAATAAAGTACCCTTTGAACTGTATTCACCATCTGCATTGAGAGACTTAAAGCTTATAAAACATATATGGGATGAACTTGATCGCAAATCTTCCAGTATATTGTTACAAGCAAAGAAACTTAAGGCAGTAAATGAATGAGCATGGTCTGAAATTACACCAGATGTGACAACAAATCTGATTCTGTGGAAGCCAGACTGATTATGGACAGTGATAGATGCAAAAGGTGAACCCACATGGTGTTAACTTTATTTTATGATTCATCTAAACAGAGTAAATGAAAGTTTTTTTTTTTTTTTTTCCCTTTGTACTTAGATTATTGTGATGCTTAGTTGAAAGTCAACAAATTATGGTTTATTTCCTAGATTAAATAAAAATTTGTCTCAGACTATTAAGACGCATTTATTTATTAATTTACTTTTTAAAATAACAGCGTAAATGAAAATAAATGTGTTCTGATGATTGGATTTAAATGTTTACAACTGTGTGTACATATCTGATGTATCTCTTGTATAAATAGATAAAAGTTAAGTGCGAAGAACATAATATTTAATAAATAAAAGTAGCACACAAAATGTTAAAACCTTTGAGCGTAATATAAAATCTGAGAGCTATCAGATTTTTTTTGAAAACTTTTTTATAAGAGTTAAGTAATCAGTAAGACAGTTATGCTTTTTACGGCTGGGGAGCCAAGTTGCAAATCATTATCAACACCCATGTTGCTTGTGTATTTATATAAAGCAGATAAAAATGAATAGCAAGTCTTAAAGGTTACTCAATAGCAGAGCTGCCAACTTAACTTTTGTTATTAGATTTAATTATAACTTCAACTGTTGCAGCATACACCCAAAGATATTACCACAACCAACGAAGATTTGTGAAATACTATAGACTGAGGTAAATAGTTGTATATTATAGCACAAAACACAGTAAAGTTATAATGCACTGGAGCCAAGTTAAAAACAAAAGAGAACTTCAATCTCATGCATGTGAAAGTCAACTGAGATGAAATTAAAATCAGAATAAGAAAATGGTATTCAATGCATCTTTAAAACTAGATAAGAAATCATTCATAATACACATAACGGTGAAAAAAATCTTTAATTAAACCAAATCTAATGAAACAGGCTGTTAATCAAAACGCATAACAATACAGAATTGAAGAAGTATGTTTAAACTCATGAATATAAATCAATACATACATAAAGAAAACAGTCTAAAAACAGATAAATGCAATAAGTAAAAAGAATGATGCATTAAAATCCAAATGTACGTTTTAAATCCATAAAAAGAAATAAAATTAAACTGTAAACTGAAATACCTTTAAAGTTGTATTTCTGGATCTTTACCAATTAAATTTAAGATTAAAACTAAATGTCTTAAAACAGAGATGTCAACATACATTAAAATTTGAATATTCAATTAGAAAGTGTAGCAAGCAGCTTGCAGAATACCACAGGTGGCAGAAATCAGTGTGTTCTTTCCTATCAGTAGATGCTGTTATCTGAGTCTAGAGTGACCAATTCACAGCCAAGACAAAAAAAAAAAAAAAAAAAAAAAAAAACTCCCCCTTGCAGGTCTTATTCCAGTCTTCTACAATTGATTTCAGTGAGATCAGCTGCTAACTGGCAAATTTCTAATGCACTGCCAATTAGTGATACTTAAGTGTTTAATAACCAAACACAACTCTCAGAAAAAGAGGTCAGTTTAGCTGCAATGCCCACCAATTCATTCCCTCTGAAATTAAGTGCAGAACCAAGTATCCGACAGTAAAGACTTTAGTATCTTAGCTTGAGAAACTCTGCTGATTCACCTTCAATACTTCAACAATTATAGGACACTTCAATACACAAAGCTAATGCATGACGAACAGTAATTAAGCCCCGAGTAAATTACAAATTTTCTCATGAACTGTTTTCAAACATAACTAAGAGTCCAATGTACAGCAAATACTTCAACCATGAAGATTATTAGAAGCAAAATTTATACTCTTCAGTAATTGAATGTGGATATTGACACAATCAGATGACTTATCTGTATGAAGAAGGGTATAGTCTTTCATTGAAAGTACAGCTCATTGAAATGAAAATAATCTCATTTGCATGGTTGTCGTTGAAATGTATCATAGAAAAGGATTTAGAAGCTGAATATGGGCATCATATAATACACATTGAGAAATACTCAGAAAGATGAAATTTCAGTTATAAGTAGGGATATAGGGAGGAATACTATGCATTGTTTTTTTTTTTTTTTTTTTTTTTTTTTTTTTTTTTTTTTTTTATGTTTAAAAAGCGGACTTTAAAGGAGAAAAAATACATATCTGTAAATTTGTTTCAACATTGAAAAAAATTTGGTTTAAATGTTAGGTGGGTTGTCATGTAGAGCAATGCAATGGAAAGAATTGTTTTCCAACCAAATGATGAAAAACACAGCATTAAAAACTATTAGTTCATTTAAAGTATTAAACACCTACTGCTTGGCCAAATGATGAATGACTTCAAAATGCGTGGTTGTCTTGATCAGTCAGCTATAAAGTGATTTAGTTGTTAATATAAATCTTATTACTTAACACTGTTTCTATCTTCCATCACCCACTAAATACTACAGGCATGTTTGCTAGACATGTGAACCTTTTATGCAATAAGTTTAAGATTTTTTATTTTATTTTTTACAAGGAAGCAGACATCTAAATATATAATTAACCCTTGGACACATAATTTTACAGTCTAATTTTTTGCATTTCTGCTCCTATAACTATAATCTTGCATAAAGTCATTAACAAACCATCTCAGATGCCAAAATTATCTGAGTGACTGGCAAACTTTGTACAATTACTTCTGGGTTGCTACTTTTAAAACAAAATGCCACATATATCTGATACATTTTTTCATCAAAATATCATAATTTTATGCATAAAGGTATATTGTTTTTAATGGTTGTATAAATAGCATATAAATTTGAAACTTTTGATATTCTTTATTCCCAGGCACACTGATTTCTTTTAATTAGAATAGTGTTATTTTTAATTTGAATACAGTAGAGAATTTAAACCTTTTAAGGAGTTCCTCTTCTTTGATCTGCAGTTGGGCATGGTAATCCTCCTATAATGAAAAGCAAATACAAGTACTAGCTGATTATGATTTCTTAAAAACCAAGATTAAATAAAGTAATACACATGCATATATTGCCAACTATTAGAATAAAAATTAAAGACTACGATCAAGATAGAAATGAGCAATATAACAAGCACCTTATAGCTGCAAATGGCATTTAACCCTTTCAGGACAAGCGTCCCATACATGCATGCCCTAAGAACATCTCTTACAGCCGGGCGTCCCATCCATGCATAACTAGAGATTGCATTCAGAGGACGGGTGATGCGTATGCACATTTTAAGCTGAACAGTTTTTCTGAAGGCCACTAGATGGCATCTTATTTCCATTACTTTTGAAATGAACACAGTTTTAGGTTTGATATATTCTGTCTGATTTTGGTATTTTACTCATAAACTGTTGCGAGGGTGGTGGTGGGGGAAGCATAAGCAGAGGTGGGCTCTTTAAATCGCCGCGTGCTAATATAAATATTCAGGTGTCTGATTTATATCCAATTCCTTTTTTTATTCTATTTCTTCCCTCTACTATAAATAGTTTTATAGGGTTACTATGGGCAATTCTGTTACGTTTTGCATTGCCTTCAAATATATTTCCATTTCCTCCCTTTTTATTTCGGAAAGCCTCACCTCCAGTCTATTATGGTGAAAAGGCACTATTTATCAGAGGAAGAATACCCTCATAAGGTTAATGAACCATTTACTAATGCAAATGAGAGTGATGATTTTTTTTCTAAAGAGTTAGAAAGTGATATTTCTCCATGCTTCAAGATTTACCACACTCAGTCTTCATTTAAATTTTGTTACATCTTACTGTAAATAGTCTTAATTATGTTGTTTTATTAATTTTAAACTTTATTGATGGATTTTATCAATTAAAACTTTGGAATAATTTGAATAGCACTTCCGAAAATTATTTTACAAGATAAGGAAATTTTTAAGTATATTTTAATGTAAAATAAAGAAAAATACATTATTAAGTGCTAATTTTTAACATATATAAGAGCTAAAGTAATAATCTAAAATTATACCAAAAATTACGATGCTAGAAGTGAAAATTTTTTTTTTATAAAATTAGGCTTAGCGATGCAAAACCTCTGTCCTGTACGATGACTGCATTCGATTCCCTTTCGTCCCGCACGAGCGTTTTAAACAAAAGTGCGCCGTCGTGAAACGGTTAAGGATTGTGGGTCAGATACATAAACAATAACCTAAACAAAATGACTGATTATAAATAAAACTCAAAATTCAGTATAAACTCTTTAGTGATTTCAAAACTAATTATGGTTGAAAATTTAAAAAAATCTAATTTTGAAACACTGCATGCATTAAAAAATGTTTCCCAAACAGTTGGACTAAAAAAATTAAGTCATAAAGGTAATTTTCCAAACTTTACTGATTTTTAAAGCTTAAAAGAAAATGCAAAAGGGCTATCTGCCTATGTTCCATTCCAGTATTTACAATGAGCACTCTAAAGAATTTTTCATTATTTAATAATAATAGATAGATCTTACAATTAAATAGATTAACACTGATTAACAAATTAGTTAAATTACTGATTAACAAATTAGTTAAATTACTGATTAACAAATTAAGTGATTTAAAAGCAATACAAGGATCATCTATTCCACAAAAACATCTATACTTTGTCCAAGATTGGAATCCTAGCTCCAAGGTGTGTGCAAGTAGCTTCTGCTAACCACCATATTGTGTAAAACAGCTTATTCCACTCCAGTCTCATACTAATTTTTAGCTAGGAAGTGCTTAATGTTTAATGAACACAAAAGGTTTTCAAACTGCACTTGATGACACCACTGTTTGTATGAAATTTGAGAAATAATATGTAGAATACCAGAGCTAAATTTAAAAAACATGGCAACAAAATGCTTGTAAACTTGAAATACCTCATTTTTAAATCCACACACATTCTAGCTTTTAGGAAGCCTTTGGGAATGTACAGTGTAAAATAGATACACTACAATAATGCACAGAAAAGTTAGAGAGTTGTAATTACATTTTACCTAAGTGATTTTTAAACACTTATTTGACAATAATGTTGTGATTTATGCATATTTTTAAATCTGCATTAAAAAATTTAAACTGTTGCATAACATTATTACTACTAGCTTAAGACAACTTCCATTTGATATAACAAATCACAATCCAAAAATTTATGCTTGGTGCAGAATGCGTAAAAGACAACTCAAGCATTGCCAAAAATGCTAGATGTTCTTCATCAAAACAAAAACCAGTTCAAGTCAAACAAGTGATTTTGTTTTCTAGAAATGTGGTACCTGTCAGAAATAAAAAGGGCAAAACGCACTCAAATATATATACTGGAAACAGTACACATCAGATAAGTAAAATGTTAAGATAAATTGTAAGATCTATTTAATAAGAGGTAAATTGATATACAATATCTCCCAAAACCAAACCAAAGTGGTTTTATACTAAGGTACATAACATATGGTGCTAAAAAAATTTAATCACAACGGTGTGGGAAATGTTCATAATTAACAATGGGATATCTATTATTATTAAATAATGAAAAATATACATGTATGTATCTTCCTCATAGAGAAAAACAGTGGTCCCTAGAGCCATCAAATTTTAACACACTTAGTCCTCCTCGTGAGTATGAGTACATCCCAGCCTGAATTTTTTTTTTTTTAATTCCACATTTTTGTGAATTTAATGAACTTTTGACCAACAAACTCTACAAATTAAAATAAATATGCTGGGACTCGGCAATGCATAAGGTATTTATGCTTAAAATTTAATCAGAAAACTCAGCAATTTAAAAGAATCATAGTGTCAGTTGGCAAAGCCTAAAATATTTGTGTTTCCAATTTGATCAGAAAACATAGATTGAAAAGAAATGTTTTTCCGCTACCTAAAGTAAGATATTTTTATCTTCCATGCACCATTATGTTGTCATTTGGAAAAACGTCAGACACATAATTTTTCATTCAAATTCAATATGTTACTGATTAACAAATTAAGTGATTTAAAAGAAATAAATGAAGTTTTTTATCTCCATTATTATTAACTAGTCGCTACACGGCCAGCCTTCATCTGGCTTTTAAATGTACCAGGAAAATGCCTAAAGGAAACACCAAACATTAAATTTAAATTTAAAAACTGCACAGAATTTTACTCTGCAGAACAACTTTATAAAAAAAAGTATTATATATAAAAAAATCACAATGAAATTAAGCAATATCCCTTAATAAAAATATTAATTATCCTAATAAATAAATAAACAAACTTCCTATTGCCTTCTCTCGACAAATGTCCACTATTTAAGAGAAACATTAAATTTAAAAACTGCACAAATTATCGCCCTCATTTTTCCAAGTGCAACAGTGCTGATATCAGCAATAATGGCTGCATGCCATTGTTGCTGATTAAATGAGAGAGAATTATCGATTTGATGCAATTTTATCAAAAGACATAAAAAAAAAAAAAAAAAAAAAAAAAAAAATGTCATTCGAATTTTCAAAAAATCGTTTCGAGGTGCACTGACTAGTCTTGATGCACCCTATGTACCAATTTTGTAGCCCTGGGCCTATTAGCTTACGTGTATCAAGAACGAAAGACACACACATTCAGATAGACTCTTCCTTTTATATAGAGAGAGGAATTACCACCTGGAAAAGGGAAATTTCTCTAGCTGTACTCGTTAAAATGATTATATACATTTTGCTTTTTGTAATAACTACTTTAGATAGCTGACTATACGGTGGGGGCTGTACTATTAAAAAAACAAAATGCAGACTTAAATTTTTAAGAAATGCATTTATTGCCTTTAAATAGCATAGTCTGTTAAGTAAAACAGTTATTAAGAAAAATTAAAGTTCTTATGACACTTTGAATGGCAACACTATGGAAATTGGCCATCTCATAGGTTTCATAAAAGATAAATAAAAGATCTTATGCCTTGTCCAATACAAAATACCGAAAACATTTTGCTAAAGATATTCTTACTGTCCAGATAAAAAACAAATTTTTCAGTACTGAGGGGTAAATAATATATGGTATATTAAAGCCTCTTTTGTTAATTACAAAAAATGTTGCAAATGCTCATACAAATCTGTTGACTATAGTATATATTCAAAGCATTTATTAGAACTAGCTATATTATTAAAGATTTGATAAGAAACAGATATAAATTCTCTTAAGAAATGCATTTATCACTTTTTAATCGCTCCTACTCTTCAGTTTTTATAGATTAATTAAATTTGAAAGGTCAAAATATATTTCCAACTGAGAAAAATATCAGATATTCCCTTTTGGCAAGGCTGAATGAATGATAAAGAGTTTAGGTCTCAGAGGCAGCATTTGACAGAGATAATCTGATGAAGATGTTTCTAATATCAACACAAATTTATAAAAACACAAGTGGTTACATCTGTTAATTAAAAAATACTTTAAACTTTAATGTTCAAAGTTTCACAACAAGTTTCTTCAAGTGTGTCATGAATATTTTTTTTTCCCAATGGCGGCCACTTGCCTATAATGGCATTAAGGCCAGAAGTGGTGGCTATTTTATTGTGGAGGCACCTAGTAGGCAACCACTGCTACCTCTTATGAAGGGACAGACAATTTTATATCCATGCCTTTTCCAGGATTCGAACTAGGGGCCTTCAGTATCGCAGTCCTCCCCTAACCGCTATACCGTCTGGGTGCTGTGTCATCAATGTTATCAGCTAACTTTTATTTTATTTAAAACATAATTTGGTTTGAATAAAATGATATAAATAAAAAAAAAACTGCACAGGAAATTAAATGAAAATGCATACCACCCGCTTCAAGTTTTCTTTCTCCTCTTCTATTCTACACTTTTCTTCCATCTTTCTATGAAGTTCAAGTTCACTCTTTCTATAATAAAATAGAGATATCATGTAAAATAATAAAGTCAGACCAACTAATATTAGTTGAATATTAATATACAGAATGGCCAAACATCAGAAAAACGGTGTTGAGTTGTACACTGGCACTGGAACAGGGTAATGAAACAAACCTAAACATATCTGATCACCTTACAAGTAATAAGCTTCCCCCTAAAATCCAATGTATAGCAAAGTCCCAGTTTAACAACGGAAAATTTATCTCAGCAATTCCAAAAACTCAATGGTTCATGAACATTTAAAAGCTATAGAAAATGTTTATAAACTGGGTATTTAGTTTTGCATAAGATTCTATCTTGTGTACTTTTAAGTTACAGTTGAATTTGAAGAATCTTAAGAACTAGTAAGTGCATAATTGCTTGACTTTGTGAAACACTAAATAAGACTTGAAAAGGGTTAAAAACCCTTTTTTATTCCAATAAAGTGTAACAGAACTTCGTCTTGGAGTTCTACAATACAGCCGCCACTCGGGCTTGAACTTAAGAAACTAACAACTAAAACTTAGCTAAAAAGATATAGTCGAAGCTATCAAGATTCTAACCAAATTGGCCCTTTAAAGCTGAATAAATGGTGAAGCTATCAAGGGCCTAAAGTACAGCCGAGCGTAATAATAGCTTAAGAGAGAGTAGCCTAAAAAGGCGGACAAGTGCTAGCCAGAATCTCCGGCTCTCTCTCACTAAGAGAGCAGAACTTCGCAGTTAATTACTTCTCCTGAATTTGCATTCAAACGCAATTCTAAAAATACGTTCTGGCTGGAAGTTGTAAGTTGAAATTCAGGAAGACAGGAAAAGAAATTTAACTCAAAATTTAACTGTTAGGAAAATTAATATAGTCCTTACATGTAAATTACAACAATGAATGGAAATCATAATTCTCATATCTTCAGATTCGAATACTTACCTGTAGTGAAAAAATAGCACCTTTACATTACTATAAAATGTAAACCACAAAGAGATGATAAAGGTGTGTATTTAATTATGGCAAAGCACACTAGGGCTATCGAGATGATAAAGACAAGGCACCATCTTGTGATACCAAAAGGAAGCTTCATTTAAAAATCGTATGGAATGTTTAGTGGGATATCAAAAGGATTATGTATAATGAGCAGCTTCCTGAAAAGCAAAATGCCCTGAAAACCAAATTTTATTGTGAATAATTGACATAGTTAAAAAAACTACTAGATGGGAAAAAAAAAAAAAAAAAAAAACTAGCTCTAAGAAGAGTTTTATTCTTTTTTTTTTTTTTTAATAATTAACAAAGGCAGAACCTCACATTACAAGTAAAATGCTGCCTAACTGAAATTATTTGAATAGGAAATTACAAACACACCACTCTTTTTTGACTTAGTACCATCCGATTATCATCTTCTAAGATCTATCTCATAAATGCTTCAGCAGAAAGTTTTGAATTCAGAATATTATGCCCAAAGAGAGCTTAATTAATTCTATGGACAATAAGCATAACTACAGCATTTATTTACTACAGTGAGAACAACTGAAATTTTAAAATTAAAATGGGTATAAATGATCATGGCGAACATCTTAGATCAGTGATTCTCAACCTTTTTTTGGTCGCGGCACACTTTTAACTATTTCAAAATTTGGCAGCACACAAAGAAAAAGATAAGTTTAAAAGTTGTTTACTTACCTATAATACACTGTGTGTAAAATAGTTTATGGTAATAATTTTGAATGTAAAATAAAATAATATGTACTACAAAAACAGCAGTACGTTTATTAAGGGATTAATTACAAGTTAATAATAAGAATACTTTTAACAAGAAATTTGAACTTGATGTTTTTTGATGATTTCTTTTATATTTGGTCATAAAAATGACAATGCTACTCTCATGTTGTCTTCTACATTTAAAAGTCTCGAACATTTTTTCTTTTTTATGTTGGTTAATACTGAAAAAATCTGAATTCACACAAATAAGATGTAGAAACCTGTAATAATATTTTTACAGCTTTTTTGGCCATCGTGGGATGATCGCATCTAATGTTAATCCGAAATGAATTAATTGATTCTTCAGAATATTTTTAAATTAAATCCTGATTATTAGAAAGCAAAATTAGTTCTTCCTCTTCGTTCAAAGTTAATACAAATACAGAAGTATCCAGCACCAAAATTGGCTTGGATACCAAAATTGGAGCATTTATTAATGCCCTAAAAACCAAATTTTGGCAATTCTCATCTATACCGTATTAAACCCAATTTTATTCTCATGTGTACTGAATTAAATGCATTATAATTTTTACTACATACATTTCTAAAATTTGGCGGCATGCAAAAGTGCAGCGGCACAGTGGTTGAGAATCACTGTCTTAGATAAAAGTTGAATTCTCTCCCTTTATTTTGAAACTTATAGGAAATTTATTATAAATAGTGGAAGTTTCCAGAAGATGAATTGTAATTTCTAAATATGACAACCTTACAAACTTTGATCACAACTGCATTATGAGCGCAAGACAAGAGAGCCAGCCTAAACTATATGAGGGCTGGCATATCTACAAGATAGCCTCATACAAGTATTACTCCTTTTTCTACCATATATTCTAAGAAAATAGTTTAATCTTTAAAACACAGTTTTAATTTTCAAATAATTCTAAATTACCTAAACATAAATTCAGAATTGAATACTAACCTTCTTACAATTTATAATAATTTCATTAATACACCCATTTTTCTTCAGATTAATAGTTCATAAATCGCTAGGATAAGATTCATCTCAATATCCCCCATTTGTTAAACATACATACTCCTTTGAAGACTCATACATACTCCTTTGAACTGTGTCATCAAGAAGCAGGCACTTTGTCTGAATACAGCACAAATTTTATGAGCAATCTTTCTTTCTTTTTCTGGAGTCCCAGTGGCACAGTGGCTAGTGCACCACGCAGCAGTACCACAGGTCCGGGGGTTCGATCCCCAGGCTGGGCAAGGTCGACTCAGCCTTCATCCCTTGGTTTCCATCACTTGGGTCTATAAAATAAGTACCAAGTTCGCTTGGGGACTAAACATTGGGGGTCCTGCGACAAGCTGACCACTTGCTCAGGGCATATGCTTACACACCCGGGGCCCACGGTCAAGAAAGCAGATTTCAGGCACAGCAGGCCTTGGCCCATTAGAGCTGTTACGCCACTGAGTTTAGTTGCTTTCCTTTTTTTAATAAATGAGCATAATACGATGAAAATGAACTTCCGGTTTCTTCATTCTTAGTACTGCACTGAAGCAAAAATTATGCCATAACACATGCTAAAATTATGGCCACGTGAGCAGAAAAGACCACATTTGAACATCCACTTTAATCAATTTCACACCTAGCCAACAGAAACAAAATAATTCTGAGAAAATAGGCTTTAATTTGAAAAACTGGAGAACTTTCCAGATAACCCCATAGTTGTAAGTATGACATTCTTAATCTGTTGCAGCAGACGTCTAGCAAATCTTTGTTTGATTTTCTAACTTAAGTGCACATTAGAATTAGCTTTATTTTATTTTGATATATATAAAAAATGTTTAGCTTTATATTATTAAATCTGTTTCAGTGGACAGCTGGAAAAAATGCTTTACGATAAGGAGAGAACAAAGTAAACGATGTAAGTAAATGTTATTGGCATACATGTTTTTACAGATTACGCATCAAGAAATACAAGTAGGGAAAACTTTCTGCAATATAAACAAGAGACAAATTAACTTCCTTTTTTTTGTTACCAAATTCATGATGTCAAGAATGTACTGTCTCGAGAAGTTCCATGTGAAATAGTATGAAGAATGTGAGGTTACAGAAACCACTAGCTGAGCCACTAGAGGTTAATGGAAAGGGAAATGGAGTGAAAGACCCTTTCATTTTATCATGTGGAATGTTTTTAATCAAAACTATAATCTGGATAAACAGGTAATTCTTCTACAGGCCAAAGTTTTATGTCCATTAATATATGCACTCCTCGTCCAAGCATGAGATTGAATAATAGAAAATCTTAATGCTTTTACAACTAACATGATTACAAAATTGTTAAAACCCAATTTCTATGTCATACCTCAAAGGAAAAAAGAAACCTACCTCCTTTTTAAGTTTTCCTCTTCAATTTTCTTCTTCCTTTCTTCTTCTTTTCGAAGCCTTTCTTTCTCCATTTCCTCTTGAATTTTCCTTACTCTTTCTTGCTCTTCGGCAATCTTCTGCTGTTCAATTTTCCTTTGCAAATTGAACAAGAGTTCATCTACACTTTTAACGAACTTTGAGTATTTTTTCTCAAGTTCTTCATTCTTATTATTTGATGTCTGAAATGAAAATGTTTTATAATTTAAATGTATCAAATAGTATGCAAATTATGCACACTACTGTCTGCAAACAGTTAAGTGATAATAAAATTTCACAATATACTTTGATTTCTCGGATAAATTCCGACATCTCTTTGTCCAAAGATTTAATTTCTGCAAGGGACTTTTCTTTCTCTTTCTTCAGTTGTGTTACAACCTGGGACATCGCATTCAGGCTTTCAGATAATTTTCTGACTTTAATTATGCACATATATCTGCAAAAAGAATGTAATAACAATTTAAGTTTAAAAATAATTCCTAATGTTCTGGCATAATGATATAATATTAACCAAAATAATTCCTAATGTTCTGACATAATGATATAGCTTCTATGATGTGTCAGAACAATACTGGCGATACTCTGGAATGACAAGAATACGATTTTTTACATAAACCCATGAAAAACTAGACACCTTTTTAAAATGATTTAGGTCCATATTTGGCTTCTTTGTTACTGAATAACATGAAAATAAGCAAATGATTTTTACATTCGAACATGAACATGAACATGAAACAAGGCACATAAAATTTTATTTCGCATGTACCTGACCAATATTAAAATAAAGACATTCGTTAGTATTACTCTGGTAAAATGAAATATAGTACTGCTCTTTATTAACTACTACAGGAGTGAGCTTCAATATATTTTGAATTTAGTTATTGTTCTCAGAACAGGAAATATTAGTGACAGTATAAAATAACTACCTCCACCTGCATTTCAGAATAACAATTATTTTCAAGTGAAAGTAACTTAATTAGCAATAATAAGAAAACACAACAATTCATAACTAAAAAAGGATATGAAAAAATGTTATTCATAATATTTTAATTACCAAACGTATTGGAGACCTCTAAACAACATTTACATTGTGTTTACCAATAACAGAATTAACTTCTACAATTTGGAAAGAAAAATACTTTACATATTCACAAATATGTTAAACATTTCATTTATCCTATAACTGAGTTGGGTAAGCAGTGTGTTATTATGAATGAGACAGGATTGCATACTATGTGAAATAAACAATCTGGAGAATACCAGAAAAAATCTGAATTTAGTCTAGCAGCCATGGCTGAAAATTACTGCTGCAACATAACTTGGTATTAAAAAGAGTCTTTAGATGTTTGCTTGGGATTTTTCAGTCCATGCAATTTCCAAAGGTTGGCAGGTTCATCTGATGTAGCCATAGGTGATGTGTGCTGGGACCCTTGTTTGTATATTTGTATTCACCAGACAAAACAACAGAACAGTCAAGCCAAGGCAGCAGTACGAGATTTTGGGCAATGAAGAATTCTGAAATGTTTCGTCACACGTATGGTCAAACACTAAAACCTGGCTGCAGACAAGTTGAAGACAACAGCCTTCAAAACTTCGGAGATGTAGTAGTGACTACTGAGCGTGTTATTTAGTATGTAAATCACTTGCCCATTGTTGTAAATTTATTTAGGATGTAATCACAAACTCAGCAGCAGCTGCTTCTAACACGTAAATAAAACCTGTTTTTGTCTTCTCAAAGTCCTTTAATTACTTTGCTAGTTGCAGTGCATTTCAAAATCTTCACCATTTTTTTATTGTTATTTTTTTATTTTCTGTTTCATCCAAATTGTTATGAAATGCTCCAGTTTTTCATTTAAATGTAATCTAAAGAAAGCCAAGCAAGTTAATGCCAGAAATCCAATTTTTTTGGCTGAAAATAATGAAATATTAAGTGCTTTATTAAAATAATAAGGAATTTTAGGAATAACAGAAATTTGAAAGAAATATTATATCAGGCTATTACGAATACAGTTGAAAATCAGAAACACTGGCACTTAAATACAGTAACAATCAATCACATTGTAAAATTTAGGAAACATAAAAATTTAAAAATTTAGCTAGCACGTGAATATATATATAAATATCTCAATCAGAAAGAATATATTCAGTATATTGAAATAAATACCTTGGTCTGAATTTTTTCTTTGCAAGACACATGCGAATATTCTTCTGAATAACAATCAGCTTTTTCTGGCGATATATAATTTTATTCTTTACTGAAAATAAAGAAAAATATAAATTAAGAAGACAAAAAATAGAAATAACAATAGAGATTAAAAACCATATCAAGTATTTTTTATGAATGCTGAAATTCATAACTATTTTATTCCATCACCATGTTTCAGAGCTGTATCCTGTTAGATTATTATTCTTGAAAGCAAGTTAAGAAATGCATTCGCTTGATATACATATTTATATATCACTTAATATGCATTAAAATACTTTTACCAAAAGTACCTACTGTGTAGCTGCCAGCCTTGAAATATGAAAAACTAAGAGATTCTGAAAGGCTTTCACACTGTATGGAACCGTTCCAAAAAAGCTTAAAAAATTCACTTAAACTTGTTTTGTAATGCATGATTTAGGTTACTGAAGCAAACTATATAAATATTCAATTAGATATTCTAAATTTTATGTTCTTTGGTTTATTTCATTTTGTAATGTTCTTATATTTTTAAAATGGAATAATCCCAGTAGGAAAAAAATTAAGCTTTAATTTAGCAAATTACTTTTAAAAGCAAGTGAAAAAATTAATTAATCTACATACTATTCTGTAGATAAACTTAGCAATGCCCCATATATTGATGTAAAATATTATTAAATACAAATATTAACTCATTAAAGATTGGCTGAATCTTAATATGAAATTCTACAGATGTTCAGAGAAGATTGGGATAATTCAGATAAAATAAAATTTAATAAGATAAATTATGCTGCAAATCACTAGAAGAGGAGAAATGGAGTTTGCAAAATTAAGTTTTGGTAAATTTCAATTATTGCTAGAAAACATTTTCCTTAGTAAAAATTTAAAAACCGGGAGATCCAATGAGGTACTAGGTGGCGTGACGAAACCCCAAAATAGCTGGTAGCTCTGTTACTGAAAATGGGATCTTTTATAGTTCTACTGTTTAAGCGATAAACATATAGTATTAAACAGCTGATAAAATTTCAATACAGCACTAAGAAAAATGGAAGCATATTGGTCACTAGAATAATTTCATACATCACTAGTTAAAATTAAAAATTTATTAAAGCTTCTAGGCACACATTTGAATAAGTAAAAAACAGTAAGAAAGAAAAACAAAACTAGTAAAAATTATCAATTTTGAATCTTTCATACAAATTTAAAAGAAAGAAAAATTACACATTTATAGAATAAAAGAATAAAGATTTAGAAATGAAATAATACAGCAAGATATGCCTCATAGAAGGAACAGGCTTCTAATGAAACAGGCTCATATTTACATTACAAATGGAGAAAACTATGAAAACTATATGCAGCTAGTCTATTCACTAGGATTTAAACTCTGGGTTTGGCTAAATGATCAGTATTCAACAGTCTCATCTTCTAAACCATAAGTAAGGACATACCTAAAGAAATATAATACATTTACTGTTTTTATTAATTATGTATCACTTTTCTCAGAATATATTTTTATTTACTTATTTTTTTTAAGTTTTCAAGTATACTCCCTAGATAATTCAAGCTTCAATTAAATGTTTAGATACCTCTCACATTCCAGCATTTTCAATCACCAAAAAAACTCAAAAATAAACAGTAGCAAGTAATTACAGTACTTAACTTTTACCCCCTCTCTTTTGTAGAAAATGAAATGATCATGGTCATATATCAATATAGAATGCAAATATCATTTGCAAAGGATTCAGATGACTTGAAAGAGATCACGTGAAAGAGAATGTACCGTATAAGTCAAATAAGCTGCAATGTAAAGAGCATTAAGCATTCTTAAACAAATACATGTTAGTATGACAACCAGAACTACTAATGATTGATATATGCCTATTTCTAACATCAGGAAAAAATCTGTCATTTTGATGGAATGGTAGTTCTAGTGTTATGATGGCAGGAATTATAAATTTTACTGGTCATTATTGTTTTGGGATCCACCAAAGAAAATTCTTTTAGAACAAAACTAAAATTATCATTTAATAACCTCTGCTTACCCATTCTCACCTAATGGCCTTGGATGAAATTTTTTGACTCTTATGAAACTCATTTCAAGTTTCTGTCACTAACCAATTCTGTGCTTATTTCAGCTTCTTCCTTCTTTGTTTCCTTAAAGCTATATAAAACTTTTATAGCTATAATTTTATGTCATTTAATCATTTACTTCCCCCAAACTTTAACATATTTCAGAAAAGGAAAGACCAAATTCATGCATTACAATAATTCTGCTGTTATTGGAGATGTCTAATCAAAATTTTCTTTTGTGCCACTGTTCTGTTTGTTACATTTGAAAGACTCTTAAAAAAATTTGCACATGAGGACATGCACATAGTCTCCAATTACAAACTAATTTTATTAACGACCGCAACTTTATACAAAATAAATGGAAAAACTGGTTTCCTGAACATTAACTCGTTTCAGCTACTGCCATTTGTATAGTCCCCAGGCAATTACTGAGCATTTTGGTGATGAACTATAACAGCCTTTGAAGAGCTTATATAACAAATAATGAACTTATGAATTAGAACAGCCTCTTAAAAGCTCATATAAAAGTAATGGTAAATAAACAAACAATATACACTAGATTTGGTTCTTTCTTTATAATTTCACTCATAACAATTATCTCATTATTTAATTAGCAGGTTCTAATTGTTACTTACATTTAATTACTGAATATGCACACCAAATTGCTTTTTTCCAGCGTGATGCTAGCAACCACTTCTTAACCTTTTTGACAAGACAGGCCAAATTCTGAGGATCTGATTTCATTATCTGGTCGAATTCAGCAAACTTTCCCGGACGGAAAAAAACTTTGGTCAAACCAAAACAAAAATCATTTTCATTGAGACCGAGGGCTTTAAACAGAGCCTGAAAAGTAAGCACTTCTTATATAAATGGAAATAATTAATCATAGAAGTAGCAAAATACGAAAAAACACAAGGATCTTAAATTGTGTCAAATGTTATGCTTATTATGGTTGTTTAAGACGGTTTAAATAAATACATTATTACTGAACATCAAATGACTATTACTTGGTCAAATTTCAATACAGTACTAAAGGAAATGTTTAAAATAAAATATTGCAAAACTATCACAGTTGAATAGAGACATGAAATGTAATTATAAGCAAAAACTTGACAAAAATATGATGTAAATATATTAGGAATAATAAAAAATGCAAATAAAAATGCAAACCCAAATTATTTTTAGAAATTTAGAACCTTATCATAATGGTGTTTTGAACTTCATTTAATGAGATGATTATGAGAGAATGTTGATCTGTTATGACTAATTTTCCATAATTAAGCCCCATAGAATGGCATTCAGCTTTTAAGAGGGTGTTATGCATTGTAACACATAATACTTTCCATAAATTTGAGGCCCACAAATTCCATCCCACATGAGAGCAAATCATAATGTATATCAATGTTAAAGGAAAAGCTGACAAATTATGTTTCTTAATCAACTTTTAAGTTTCTGTATCCCTATGGCTAAGACAGTTATTAAACATCTTTCCTCAATGTGGAGAAAACAGTCAGCATTCTGAGTACTGCAACAAGAAATATTATAAACTATGAAAAGACTAGAAGCAATATAAATCATATCAGATTAAAGATTCTTGCTTCATAAGAGGATAGAAAGACTGCCTCATTTACCCATTCTCTGCCAGTGAGTGTTTTCCTAATATTTCTCAGTTGGCTCCAATACATTTTCAGTTTTCCTGCCAGGCATTGCTATCCCATTCAATATATGTCAGTTATCATCATGTGTTAGCATTCTTAGTCCTATGGCTTTGATACGCAATAATTTTCTTATTGCCATGTTTCTCTAAAACAATATTGTATCATAACTGCATCTTTTCTTCTTTGTAAGCTTAATAATAAACATTTGAATCTTAGAAGAGTAAAATGTTTTTCTCTTTTGCTATGATGAGACAAAAGACCTGTTTAAGACAGCAAATTCTCATATCAATAATTCCCCCCCCCCATTTTGAGAATACTCTAAGCAGAACTACTGTTTGATAAATGATTTCTACCTCTTACTGGATGCTGGATGAAAATATACTGATTTTATCTCTACAAATTCAATAGTATTTACAAACTGAGAGGTCCTCCTACATAAAGGCCAGCATTTGGTTTACACCATACAAAAATACTTTTTAATTCTTTAAAAGTTTTACTCTAAAAATGAGCTAAAGATTTTAGTTTTAGATTTAAATATGCATAATTGCAGCATTAAAAGAAAAATTATTGAGAAGAAAAGGAGTCCAAAATATTTAATAAAATTTTATATGATAATTTCTGACTTACAAATGAAAGATGTTAAAGAGTAATCACACTACTTACCTTACAAAATAATCGTGGATCTAAACGAGCAAGATCAGGTGGCAGGTACTTTTTGTACATTTCATAGAGGTCAGAAAACTGTGCCCGAGATGGATAACCCTGTTGCATTAATTCCAAGACAGAAGTCATTCCTATTTTGGTTTTCCCACATACATAAAAACAATGAGGAAAATTTACTTTTCTGCCTTATCAATACACTATTTAAAGAAAATGAAACAACACAATATTAAAAACTATACAAAACCTGAACAGCGCAGCTGAATAAGTATTTGATTTCCTTCAAAGCAGTGGTCTATCATCCTAAAATTTGGTTTGATGCAGCGGACAAAATGTGTACCAGTGTTTCTTAACTTCACCATAAGCTCCTGAAGCTGACTTCTAAACTTACTGCCAACACTATTAATATTCAGTTTTCCTCTATTCTGCTGGGTAGTTGATTCATTTCGAAACAGATTTTGAACAAAACTATTTTCAGCTTCCAGCATAACACTCTCTAAAGATGCATGAAGAGCATCATTATTTTTTTCAATAAATGATACCTAAATGGAAAAAATGGCACATGAATTTATGCAATGCTGTGATTTAATAACTGTGTGGTTTAATGACATTATAGATCAGATAGAATATTCTGAAATGCATAATTTTGCACTAATATATCTTCCTATCATGAAGAAAGGGCAAAATACTGACACAGAGATTTAAAGTTTGCAAATTTTTTAAATTCATAACTTTCAAAAATATCTGCATATATCATTAAAAAAAGTTATTTGTTGTGGTTTCGAACACTTATGACAAAGGAAAAAATAGTAATTTCAAATATATCTGTCAATATTTTACATAAAAGGTCAATAAAATACAATATACAGGGTGATTAAAAAAAGTTTACAAAATGACATGGCAAATCAGGCATAGAACAAGGATAAAAAATCACAGAGGAATGCAGGGTCTCAAACGAAACTAAAGGGCATTGCTATACAAATACAAGCTGAGCAAACACAGATTGTCTTCACTGAAGCTGCGGATGCGTTGGGAATAACATGGCTAGTTACATTACATATACCATGAAATAGCTGACATGCATTTGATTAATGGCATGGTTAACTGCAATGGACAAGAAGCCGTGTGAATGTATCATAAGAAATATCCTGAAAAAAAAAGGTACCTTGCCACTCATTATTTGCCACTCTGCATCGATGATTGTGCAAAACCGGCTTGTTCGACACGCACAACTGCTGTTTGCCATCGAACAACTCGGAGAGTTTTTTCTAGAAGAAAGCATTCTTTGAGAACTGGAGCATAATCCTTCAACAAGAACATGGATTGTATCCCAAAACACTCACAGCCCCCAAGCCACCATCTGGCACATTTAATACGATGAAGGACTTCATCCTTTTCATTTACAATGCATACAGCCATTCAAACTGGAAGGCTACAAGCACATGGTGTTTGCACGGTGGTTTTTGCAAGAAAATGCTGCAGACTTAAACTTCACAGGAAATGTTCTTTTCAGTGATGAGGTTATGTTCTCACTACAGGATGTGATGAATGTTCACAACTTGCACACTTGGATGAAAACCCACATGCTACACGTATGCATGCCTCACAACGTAAATTTACCCTCAACGCGTGTGCTAGCATTTTAGGAGACTGTTTACTGGTCTGTGCATTCACCCAGAAAGATTTAATGGTTGCATTTATCTTGTATTCTTGTAAGAAATTCTGCCAGATATGCTGAACGATGTTCCTATGCCTATTCATCGATGCATTTGATTTCAGCACAACAGGGCTTCTGCATGATTCAGTAGACAAGTCAGAAAGTCAATCTACAAGCTCTTTTCCTGGATGCTTCATTGGTCATTGGTGGACCAATTGCATGGCCACCACAATGATCAGATCTGTCTCCAATTGATTTTTTTGTCTGGGTTTTTTAAAGGACTTGTGTATGAAACACCTGTTTCATCACCAGAAGACTTAGTAGAAAGAACTGAGGCAGCAGGATGTGTTCAAGATTTATCTGGTATCTTTGAGAAGGTGCACCGTTCAATGCAGCGCCAATGTTAGGCATGGCTGGATGCATCTGGAAAAAACTTTAAACATCGCTTGCAGGGGTCATACATTTGTAGCATGTGACTTATATAATAAATGATCTGAATGGTTTTGTGTCTTGTCTTCATGTTATGTATTATTTTAAACGTCCTCTAGTGGCCCTAGATAGCATTTGCGACCCTATGTTCCTATGTATTTGAAGTACTCAAAAGTTATCTGCTTTAGAAGTGATGCATTGAGAGTATGTGGGAGTGGAGACTTTCTAAGCAGGTTGGCTCATATTTACACTATGCATGACGACTGCACACTATGCATATTTACACTTCGCAGAAACCTCATGTATCAAACCCAACCAACCAAAAAAAATCAAACTATGATTAAGATTAAAAATTAGTTCCCAATGCTCTTATCGACTTTACTACTTGGGCAAAATTCATTTGTATTACACATTAAAATTATATCACTTGATGGTTAATAAATGTTTTTAAAAGATCAGATACCAAGTGGATACAACTACCATGTATGGGTAGTTCACATGTGAGTTTAGCTGCCAGCAAATGAGGTTAGTTACATGAAATTTATCCTGACTTCCTTTACAAAGAATATAAAATACAGGTCAGTATTTATTAGAAATTCAGCCTTCATGATGATAGCAAATTACATATTTAAATGAAGATATAGGACAGTAACCCTTTGACTCGTGGTGGTTGCGCCCTGAAAAAACCAATTTTCGTTTTCTCCTCTTCTTTCCGAGATTTTTGAGTGAAGATCAATTGATTACTGATCTTTTACCTCTAAATAACACAAAATGATTGCAGAATCATACATGTTTAAGTCTTAGTACTTCAAATCGGCTGCCTTTTAAAAATTTGTTTTCAATGAGACAAAATAACTTCCTTTTATTAAAATAAACAACTTTAAATTTGAAAAGTTATTCATTCCACATAATGATTTCTATTGTGAACAATAAAACATTGCAATAATTAAACTGCATATATAAAAAACCTATCTACATTTATGGCATTTGCTTTGTGGTTTCAGGGCGTGACCACTGTCCCACTAGAGCATTGTGTCACAATGCTCACAACCCTCTAGAGGCTCAGTGGTCGCGCCTTGAAACCACTGCTCTATACAATGGCGTTTTCTTTCAAATAGGAATGTTTATTTTTACCGGGATATAGATAAGAGGCTTTGAAGCCACAGATTTATTTTATTACTAAACAATACATGCACCTGGCCAGTGAAAAGGTCTTTCTTTTCCACAGATTTTTCTCTGACTTCAATACACTTGCTTCCCAAGCCAGTATTGTGATTTTATAAATTATTTGGTGTGGTTTAAATTGTATGTAAATATACTTTGCTATAATTAAAAATAGAAATTGCGTAAAAGGTTTATTTAAATTTAAAATATTTTCTAAATGTTTTGGGACAAAATATAAATAAAATAAATATGAATGGGAAACGAATAATCCATACCAAAGCCAAAAAGACCAAGCCCCCCCCCCATTAACATAAAAAACCACAAATTTCATGTGCCAAATGAAAAGGAAACAAATAACGCTGGACATATATCAATGATATTGAAGTTCCAGGCAGTGTACATTTTGCAGTGCAAGGAAGAAACCTCATAGAACAAGATTCATATGAGAAATGCACAATGTGGGTCTATGCATATACCAAAAAGACAAAACATGCTTTGAACAGTGTCACAAAAAATGTGTTCTTTGAAATAAAAAAATAAATAAATAAAAAAAGTGAGTTTTTTTAAATCCTTAATTTGATGAGCCTTTTTATCCATTTATCCAAATGTCCTTTACATATATTTTCACTGTTACAGAAAAATTACATAAATGTTTATTTTTAAATTTTTTTCTGACGATTTACTTTGTAAAATAATGCAAAAAATTTACATATAATGCAATTCATACTTACATTTTTTTAAATTCATAAATTTTGTCATTTATTGGAAATATGCACGGAAAAAGGTAAGTTTTTTCCCCCTACTACCTCAGTATGTTTCAAAGTCCTAGACCAGGGGTCGGCAACCTGCGGCTCGTGAGCCACATGCAACTTTTTGGATGTGAAGCTGCAGCTCTTTAGTTCCATACGCAAATATTATTTATTTTTTAAAAAGAAAAACATTTAAAAATCATTCTGAATTGATTAACAAGGATTAGGCACTGATTCTGAAATTTTGTAAATATTTGACTACCGACTCAAATCCCTATCCTATCCTAGCCGCAAACTGGTTTCACAGTGCAACCACCACCCACAGAACAATGGACAAGAGTAGATTTTTTTAATTCATATATTACTTGTCTCTAGGATCATAATATTCAATTTCTAGAGCTTTTAGTTTAAAAAATTATAAAAATAATATAGCGTACATCAAAGGGTTAATGCAGAAGCTCACAACAATTTTCACATGAATTTCGTCACACACAGTTTAGCAAAAGATTTTCTATGAACAATCAGCATTTCAGAAGTTTTTCTCAATATAACATCAGGATGAACCAGTTTCATTTTCCTGCAAAAATCAGAGCCCTTCCACAGCAGACGTCTCTAAGTCTTGTCATTATTAATATTCTTAGATATATTTACTAGTAACAGATAGATTAGTTGGGTTTATTTGATTATAGCAATTGTCTAAAGACAGAGATGCCTTCATGGAAGACTTCTTAAGGAAAACTGCCTCATACACATGCTGGAAAACCAAGAAAATGCCCATGGAGCCAGCTCATTTGCAAGAGTTTGAACCCTGCACTGAACTACTATCGCTTAGTGATTTCACCACTCAGCCACTGGAGGGCTATAACAGATAGAAGGTCTTTTTTTACCTAACCAAATACCCATTTAAAAAGGGTCCATGACACTTAAGTGACAAGCCCATTCAGCCAGCAGGACATTTAACCGATAATATTATCGCATGTGTATGGGTTCTTAGTTGACTGAACACATACAGAATTGATAATAGCTTGCTAAATTTTAACAAAAGGAATACTTTACAATTCTGAAACTTTCCATAAAAATACAAGTACAGCTCTTTCCAGTACAACACAACACAATAGGTAATTACCACTTCAAACTACTAAGAACATAATGGACAGTGCATCCAAAGAGTGAAGCTTGCATGATCTCTCAATACTCCAAATTCAGCTATGAACCAAAAATTGTGAGCTGATGGTCTCTCTGGTCTTATATAGTTTTCACCTGGCCACTGAGAAATCTCTATCTACCATTTCTTGAAATTACTGGAAGGCATATACAGTTAAATATACATATAAGGGCTGTATACAGTTAGTTATATACAGGGATCAATTACAGTACCAAAAGAGGGACTGGACCAAAATGTTGCCAAATGGTCGCAAAGTTTAGTGACTTTTGGCAATCCATTTAAAATTTGGCAAAAAAATTAGTTGCTGAAACTGTCGACATCTTGGTGATGTCTTGCCACTTTAGCAACACAGTTATTTACTTCAATGTTAAAGATTTGCTCCTGTAATTTTATTTTTCGAGCACAGTTCAGTCTCTCCAAACTTTTCATGTTACATTATACAAAAGATACAATTTTAAATATAACTTTACCAAAATTATTTACATACTTACAAAAATGCATAATAATATGTATGTTTAAACTAAAATATGCACATAAATTTTAATAAATTTCTTTCCAGATTTAACCAACCATAACAAGAAGGCTTATAACCAAGTACTACAGTTTTATTTAATGCCAGATACAGCATAAATTTTAAAATTAGGCAGAAAAGCAACCTTAAGCTGGCATAGATTTTGAAATTCATTTCGAGGGTGAGGAAATATGATTTAAGGGTAAAAAATACTTTTTGTAGAAATGCAAAGAAGGAAACAAATTTATATATAAATTATGCATAAATTGTCACACTATAAGGGACACATAAAAGTCTGTTATCTAGCATGAGTTTAACTATTTTCATCTTAAAATTGTCAATATGATTTCTGATTTTCATATATTAAACATAAATCATTATCTAGAACCGAAACTGTTTATGGTATAACTATTTTTGTTTATCTGCTTCTCCATATGAAACGCTATCACTCTGCTACAGCCTTTTCTCACTACATGAAAATGAAACCCATCAAGCAAAGCAGGCTTATGAACCACTGAAATATGATGTTCCTATTTTGCTACACATTACAAATTTAATAAAACAATGTTGCATGTTTTTGTCGGAATGCGCTGTCGGTTAAATGTCTATGATCAATCTAAAAATATTTGTGATACATACAGTGATTAAATTTTATGCAATAATGAGTAAAATATTGGTGTTTCTTAATTAATAATTTTAAATAAACATGCAAGAAGAAAAATACAAATTTCAAAATGCTCACCAGCAGCCTAATGGTTTAGCCACTGAACATCGGTAGTTTGACCTGGGTTCAATTACAAGCAAACAAATGAGTTGCATAAGTGATTTCATCAACATGGATATGAGACAATCTCACTTAAAAAGCCCTCCACAAAGGCATCCCATTCCCTTAGGCAGACAGATCTTGTGTGTTTTGCCATAATCAACTAAACCAAATCACATAAATTTCAAAACAGTTGTTCATCACAATTTGGTAGTATGTGCTTAGAACAATATGAGTGATCCTGCTCCAAAACATTAAAAAAAAAGAAAATACTGGAATACATCTGCCCTAAATCAGGAAATCTTGAAAGCAAAGAGCACACAGAAATGGACAGTGACTAACAAAATATTTTAGACCTGATACATTTAAAAACACTATCTGAAAATACGTTACATGGATAAATAAACAATTATTTCAGGTTAGAAGAAATTGTAAATTTCTTTTCTTTCCTAGATTTTATAATAAAAAGCAGAATTAATTTATGCAATGTGAATGGTTGAAGACGCATCTTACTGAAATCTTAACAACGATGTAACAATTTCAAAATGATTGGAAATTGATTCGCGTGAATCAGACATTTAATTAAAACCACTGTTACAATAAATAAAAAAAAAAAAAAAAACAGAAGCTACTTAAATCACATAAAAAGCACAAATATTAACATAATCATTTAATAATGGATTAAAATATCCAAAGGTTACCTATTAAGCATTTATAAAAACTTGAATGACTTAAGTAAAAATCATTACATAACACAGAAGCAAAGAAGGAAGAAAATCCTGTAATGTTCACTGTTAATCTGACCTGCAATCTTGCTAACCAGGACAGAAATGAACAAGAAAGACTAATACTGAGAAATTTAGGTGGTTTTTCAAAATCTTTTAATAAATAATTTAAATTTAAATTTAAATTTATACTTAAAAATGCTCATAAATTAGTTTACATAAGATAACAGAAATTCTTAAAAAATCTTAGCATTAATCAAGTATTCAGCATTAGAACAATGATATTAGATAAAATGTAAATGTTATAATAATGTACCTTAAACAATTAGAACACATTTTCCTCCCACTTTGAATGAATGCATGAGGCTATAATTATTAATAGTTTACAATAAAATTTAAAATTTATTCTACAACTGAATCCTCAAAGGAAATAGATGGCAGTCTGACCAGAACTTAAACACAGTTCGAAAAGGATATTTGCATGCTTTGGCAAAAAGTGAGACTGGATGTGCCATTTATTTGCAGACGTATTGGAAACGAAGACAGCAACTTACACACAAAAGCCTGTATCAGATAATTTCATGGGAAGTTAATCATAAACAAGCAACTGAAAATTTCATTGCATTTAAGACCTGAGTCGCAAGGATAAATTTTTATTATTAGCAGAAAATACACCAAGGGAGGATATCAAACTGAGAACTTGTAAGGCTCATATTTTACAATCAAATAAGAATAGGGATGGAAACTAAAAAGCATGTAAGTTCAAATCTGTAACAAAAAATTTAAAATCAATTTTTTTTAAAGAACTTACTGTTTCGTAGCACACAGCACCAGCAAAATGACGAATTATGAAACCTTCATTGTCACGAATTTCCCGATGATATTTAAGCTTTGATTTCCTTGGAATATCTAACCGGAAATGGCCTTGGTTTCTGCTATGCACTGCACTAGTAAAATGTGTATGACTAGATTTAGGAAGTTTACTTTCTTCATCAAGTAAATCAAAAATTCCATTTCCCTTACTTTCTAGTAACTCTGCAAAGAGATTTTAAATTGATTTCAGATATACTTAAGCAATTCATATGCAACAATAAGTAAATTGCATTACTTTACACAAAAATAGTTTTCATATTTCCCCCTCATGCAAATTAATTTAATTAATTTAGTCATACATGAACATTTAAAATGAAACAGTATAAATCTTTTTGACTCTATTTGCTAAAGATTATGTTAACATAGCGAAACATTTCTCATACCTATGCATAAGTGTCTTATTAAAAAAAGTAAAAATGCTTACGATTTGAAAGCTTATCTAAACAAATCTGAATATTCTATGATGAATATTTGGCCCATTTAAAATTTTAATTCACTGACAATGCATTAAACCAGTTCAAATGAACTTAAAATTTTACATATATACAGCTATAGATCACATATATACAGCTATATATTACATATATAAATATACAGCTATAGATCGGGAGGGAGGGAGAGAAAGTTTCAACATAACTTGTCATACAGAAAAGTATATGAACGATCATTTGATTTTCTTTAGTGTCATCAATCACAATCCATCATCCTTCACAACATATTTAAAAGAAAAAGAATGCCAAAATATATTTTACCTATACAATCTTGATTATCTATATAGTCTATTTTTCTGACATTTAAACCTTCTCTTTCATAGAGAGCTTGCTCCTACACAAATATAAATCAATACTATAAAAACAATTGAAAAATTAAATACACATAAGAAATGAAATCTAATTTTACAAATAATACATTAGTATATCAATTAAATGATGTTTCATGAAAAACAGAGACATTAAAACATTTTTATATCACATTTTATGAAGAATGCTTTAAGGAGTTTAAACCGATTTCTGATATATAAGCATTAACATTTCAAATTTGCCACTGATCCGATTCATAGAAATCTCCAGAAATTATTCACAGTAAAACAGCTATTTATCACATGAATTTATGTATAACAGCATAAATAATATCCATTTAAAGTATTGATTTTAGGTGAAAAAATTCATCATAAAAGGCAAAAATAAAGTAAAAAATTCAAATAAAGAGACATGCAAAAATGGGTTTTATTCCAAATTCAAGTACAGTCAAAAGTCGTTAATCCGGACTTGTCGGGACTTCGGCATTCCGGATTATAGATCATCAGTTTAAATCTGGTAAAATGGCATGCAGAAATTATAAAATTAAAAATATGAAACCATAATTTACGAAATAAAGAACAATTATGATCTAAAGGGTATCAAAATTTACAAAAAAAAAGCTTAATATTTATTTGTTTACTTTACTAAACATTTCTTTCAATGTAAGTTTTTTATGTGATAATACATTCTCTTTAATTCTATAAACAGACATAATTTCTTGTTCAGTTACAAAGTTCTGCTGTTCAAGTCCTATAATTGCTGTGTCGAGAATACCGACTAATTTGTCAATCGAAATTTTTTCGTTTCCAATAACCTCTGTCACTTTCTTCACTATCGGAAGCGAATTATAATGATAAGGCATTTGATTTAAATCATATCAAAGACGGAGTACATTGAGATGAAATACTACATTTAGTAAGCAATTATAAGCCAAATAAAATAAAAACATCTGCCCTTAAGATAAGGATAGTGTTGACAGATCAACTTCCAATTCATTGCGCTCCGCGGCGTTAAAGATAAACATAGTTTAGATAAACAAACGTTAAAGTTTAGATAAACAAAGGATATGCCTTTATCCATTTTTTGCAGCAATTCCACTTTTTGTTTAATGGACTCCGAAAGATACTTTCGCTTTGTATATCCTTTACATATTAGTAAATATATATCGGAAATTCTATTTGACATAATCGAAAGTTCAAGCTTACTTTTATAAAATTGCTCTAACAGTCTGCAAAAAATAATAAGCCGGATCCAATTCGAAGATTAAGGAACAACGCAATCTGCAACATTAACTGAAATAGATAATTAGATAACTTTAGCTTAGCTTATCCTGTCCGTTATACATTAAATGCGCATTCGTAAACGTATTTTGCGCATGCACACACGCAAGTTCGCACCGACGCATGCGCAGAAAGTTTGTAGCTTTGAGGTCCGGATTATAGATCATTCCGGATTATGGGTGTCCCGAATTAACGACTTTCGACTGTATTAAAAAAATGTCAATTTTTATTTTAATGAATCTACAGGCTGAAATACTTTTGTGTGTAATATATTTTGATATAGGGGCAAGAATGTAAAATGTAGAAAAATGTAAAATGTAAAATGCCTTAAATGTAGAATGTAAAATGCCTTAAAATGTAGGCAGCAAGATCTCTACATAAAAATAAAGAAAACACGGATCTGATATTTGTTTTTATCAACTAAACATGAAGAATGATATATATTAACTCTGTTATTTTTATTTCATATAAAAGACGTTTTACCCATGGAGACTCTAATAATAGAAAAAGTACCTTCTTTACAATAAAGATATGTCACCTCAGCTTATTCAAAATCTTACAAATTTTATTAATTATAATGTTAAAAAATTATAATAATTATTAATATTATTATAATCTTATAGTAATAATTATGTTTAATAATTATAATGTCTCTATATGAGGACATTGTTAAAAAGTACTGGAGAGTCTGTGCACTAATAGCTTAAGCACTAATGATTGGCATTTATAAAATAAAAAAGTAAGTAGCTGATACCCGATTACGGTTCTAAATGAAAATCAGAAAAATACATTTACATAATAGGAATTTCTTTTTGCCAATTTTTCACTCAGTTAAGCATTCAATTGTTAATTTAAAATATGAAAACATTTTACTAGTATAAGATCAGCATAAATTGATAAACATATAAGGACTTTTTTAGCAGATGAAACTTACTTCTTTCAAGATCCTTTCATTGAAAAATTGCTGCAATTTCTCATTGCAATAATTAATACAAAACTGCTCAAAACTGTTCACCTGAAAATACTCTAAAAAAATGAATGCAATGAATATTGGAATAAACCACATTTCAATACTGTAGGAAACTGAAACACTAAGTAATCAATAAGAAAGGAGGAGGGAAAAAATTATGTAAGTATTTTAAATATATAAAGTCTTTCACTTATTTTGAATAAATACATAAGGATTTTGTTTTTAGAGCAATTCATTTTATTCTTAGTAACGAAAGCAGATTAGAGGTTTCAATCATTAACCTTTTCTTGTGGCTATAGAGGTTTATATATATATATATATATTGCGCCATTTATTCAAGTATTTAGGACAGGAAGGGGGAATAAATGAGTCTCCTACATCCTATACTACATAACTTCGTAAATTTTATATCTCAATAGTGAACTGAATTCCTTGAAAGTTTATTTATTGTTATGACTGCATAGCACATATCTGTCCTAGTACCCAAGAAAAGGTTGTATAAACTAAACAGTAAAGCAAATTTAACATTGTTTCTGCTTTTAAAGCCAACGGCAAAAATATACACTGCCTGGCCAAAAAAGAGAGTTGCTGAGTAATTTTGTACATGTAAAAATATTCTGGAGGAAATAACAGATTAAGCATTTTGAAAATTTACATACAGTATACAGCTCCTCATTTCATAGCAATAATGACTAAGATGTTATAGGTGATTAAGGAAAAGATGTTAGAGAGTTAAGAAACGATTAAGTTATTATCAAACACAGAAAGCTAAAATTACTGGCAAAGGTAGTGAAACACATCAGTAAATTATGAAATCTTGGAAATATAGAAGTGAGCCACTGATTTCATTGAAAATCAGTTCTAAATTATCATGACCAAAACTCTCTAAAATTATTACAGAAATGAAATTACAAAACATGTACAATGACATTCAACATGGGAAGCAAATCAACTTCCAATGCACAGTGGGATTAAACAAAGATACTGCAGAATAGAAATCATTTCTTAGTTTCCAATTAGTAAAGGAAGCTTCAATTTGCAAAAGAATATCAAGATTAGACTTATTAGTAATGCAGAAAGATTATCTAATTTGTTGAGTCCAGATTTACGTTCTTCCAACAAGGCAGAAGCAATCCCATTTTGAAAGGAGCCACATGAAGCATGGGCCACTTCATTTGCTGCTTACATCACACAAACTTTACTATATAGAAATAAATTACATTCAGTTCAGTATCTGTACATATTCAATGGCCATTTCATATAAGCACTGGATGTTTTTCTTTCCTGTAGGTCACGATGTATTCCAGAATGACAATGGCAAGATTTACAAAGCTGCTCACACTGTAAAAGACAGATTAAAGGAGCACGAGACATCATTCACACAAATGGATTGGCCTTAATAAGTCTTTATTTCAGCCCAGCTGAAGGCACATGGGATATATTAGAGAAGAATCTAAAAAGTAATTTAACTCTTCCTTTATTGGCCAAAAATCTTGGAAAATTGTTAGTACAACTCTGAGCAAAAATTAGTATGGGAACAAGCATAAACTCAACGAAATAATGCTACACTATACACTGTCTGTAGTTCACGTTACAGATGACCCAGTGCAGTATAAATTTTTAAAAGAATCTCGCAAGGATATCAATACACCAAATAAAAAGTTAAATACATTTTCTGATGCAAACTGGAAAGGTTATAAGCATACAATGTAATACACAAAGTTACATACTATTTAACATTATAAATACAGAAAATATTAGGACTATGATAGTGACATTCATAATTAGTAAAACTCTTACTTTTTTTTGCTTAAAATGTATGTGCACTATTTTATTCACAGCAGAAAAGGCATTAAGAAATTGCAGCCCTTCAGAACAAATTTCCTAGCAAAATTTTGAATGACTGCTAACATCAGAAAACATTCAGCAATAAATATTGTTTATAATCATGTTAAAAGTATGCACTGCGATGTTATATATCTATCATGTATATATTAGGGGCAGAGAACTATTAATTTTCATAGTTTTTAAAAATTATATTAAAAATATTGCATATTAATAACAATTTATTAATTTGAAAAGGATGTTAAATTTAACAATTTACTACTTCCCCCCTTTGTACAAAATCATCGCTGCAGTATGCTATTTAATTCTTTCTTGAAAGTAACCACAAACATTCCTGTAGATTCCTGTTTTGAAGATTCACATCATTCAATTATAGAGGCTCTTCATAATGCTTTATCGAAAGTAGTTCCTCACATTTTCAGCTTTATGGTATAAAATCAAATTCTGATACAAAATTAAGTATTTAAATAAATATCAATATAATAAACAACAGTAAATTTCAAAAGTTTAAAAAAAAAACCTGACACTCATTAGTAACTTTGTAAACTAATGTGAAATGCTTAATTTTAAGAGCAATTTATAAAAGTTTGATGATTAGAAAGGTATCCGTGAGAAGCTAAAACTAAGCCCAGGAAAACTATAGCATGCACCTATTTTTGGAAAGAAAGTATGCCCAGGAATATTTATTTTATTAGAGAAATTATTATAACCCCAGAAGAAAAACTTCAAGATGTATTAAGCTTTTTCAGTTATGTACTGCCATGCCTAGATAATGAGGAAAATCAGTAATAAAATAAACATTTTCATGTTTTGTATGTTACATGTTCTATTTCTTACCAAATGTTATGCAATACCCACTCTAGGTGTTTTTGAAGGTGTTTGACAATTTGATTACTACCTAGGTGTTTGATTATTACCTAGGTGTTTGACAATTTTATTTCTACTATGAGCCTTAAGGATAATATTTTCACTATGCTCTGGAATTATGCTGCAAAAAATTCGTTTCCCTTTCTCTTTTTATTATTTTGAGTGATTACCACACAGCATTTCATTGAGAACACCAGGCAATTAACTGATGTGTCGGTCAATATAAAAATGTGTTCGGCTAGGCTCAGAGGCAACCAATTACACTTTTCTAACTGCTTCACTACATGAAGCTAAAGATCATGTTCTAAAAAAAATTTATGTGAACTTTAAATGCACCTATGTCAAATCTGCTACTGTGCCAGAAATATTTAATGTTTACCATGTCAGATTTCATGGCATCACAGAGTAGAGCTAAGGGCTGAAAAACAAATTATGATATAGAAAAAAGGGCTCATACCATTAAGACAACAAAATTACACTGTCATCCCAACACATTCTTACATACACTTTTTAAGTATCCATTAGGTTGATGTCTTGTTCAGAAAGTCAGTTTACATAATACAACTTAGCTTTAAAAGCTCTCCAAATTTAGATTTCCACTAATTCAGATGAATTAAAATTTTTGTTCACTCATTGTGATGATAAAGCATTCTGCATAGCACTGGTTATATGCATTCACTCTCACACGGATGAGTGCAAACATTTGAAACTTAAGCTGTTTTGTGTTTTTTGACTACATACATAAGCTTCTACAATAGGCTCTGTGACAAAATAAATAGGTCCATCATGGATATTTTTGATGAAAATCAACTCAAAAACTTTTTTATTGATGATAGTATGCTGAGATTCTCCTTCAATTATAGAAGGAAATACATGGACAGTTCTTTAATTGGCAATTCTTTAATTAAATTAATAGTTGATTCCTATGAACTTCACATAAATTTTCTAATATATCAGTGATAAAAGAAAAAAAAAAGTTTTACATCTGTTGCTAAGTGCAAGTTTCAGCACCATCAAATATATGCAGATATAATATTGCCCACATTCAGTAATGCTAACTACTCACTACAACTTACACAGTGAATCATTGTCCAAAAATTATATGAAAATATACGAAAAAACTATAAAACTCGTACAGTTAATTCAGTTTGAACAGTTGTATAGAATGCTGGACTGCTGAAATAATGTTTAAGATAAAACCTTTTCAAAAACCTCCATGAGATTTCTATAGTTTTAAGTTAATGACGTCTACTTCCTATATTCTTGAGCTAATTACTGTCATTAAAGTACCCTTTAAAAGTCAAAAAATATATATCAAATAGCAAACTGACTAATTAAAGACATGCCACTACATATATCTTAAGATTTTCCTTTGTGTAAACTTTTATGTTTTGCAAATGAAATGATTAAAAATTACATACAGCAAACAGATTATACTAATTCTGTGAATGCAACTTACTTCAAGTACAGATGTATAGTTTTCCCATGTGCAGTTATTATTAAGAAACTTCACAATTTGAAATATTCCTTTTTTAGACTATAGTTTATTTACTATATTAAATCTCTAAAGCAAAGCAAGTAAAATAGACAGACTTAGCCCTTTCTTTATAGTTATTATTTTTTTCCGATTGCAGTGTTCTGAATGTTTCCTTGCTATGTGCTATTATAAAATCGTCATAGCTACTCACATGTGATTATTAATTAAAAATATTTTAGACATACCATACTTTAAAACAATAGCAAGAAGTGTATGGAATCAAGTATCTACAATAAAATAAACATTTTCGTAAATTTTAGACTATAAGCATAAACTTTAAGGCAAAAAAAAATTCTCCTTTTATGGGATAGAGTTTTCCCCCTTACAAATACTTTTCTTAGAACAATATTAATTTAAAAAATAATATGAAGAAGTAATTAAAAAAAAAAGAAAGAAAGGGAAAAAATTCATAATCTCAGAATTTACATCTAAAAAGTGATACAAAGTAACCTGAAAAACTGAAAATAATAAAAATCATAATCATTATGACACAGTACACAATTGCCTCTGTTTAAGAACCCAAAGTATCAACTGCATTTTACCTTCTGACAGATGAATGTGTGAATACAAAGCTTGTGAATTTACATATATACTTCACTTTAACCTACCAAAACCAGCAATGTCCAATACACCAATGTAATAAGATGATGAACTAAATGGAATACTCTTGTTGATACACTGCACAATGAAATCAAAAAGGCGGGAATACATGGCTTTAGCTAAAGCATCCCGTGCATTTTGGGCTTCATGCACTTTCAGAGGTACCCTATAGTAGAAATGCTTAACAAGTCACATGCACAAACAGAAGAATTAAGTAGTACATGCAAAAATAATATATGCTACATCAAAAATATATTAAATACTAATGATCGTAAAAACACAATTTTTTAAAAATAAAACAGTGTGACTAGACAACTACAAACAAACAACAACAACAAAAAAAAACTACTTATGAATTATTAATAATCATTAATTTAAAGTAGTCATGATAGATTAAATTTAAAATTTTGATGCAGGTGATGGACAAATCATGCAGTTAGGAAAACAGGAATGTACCTACAAAGCATTCTACAGTTAATATTATTGAAAGATGAATCTGTAGTATAAATAAATAGTTTACTAATAAACTGAAGAAAACACTGGAAGCTGCTTCTAAAACACTGGAATGCTACATATCAGCGTGCTAGCAGAAATCTAGCCACATGTTAGAATATGCAACATCAGTAATAAGCAATGTTTAAAACATTTGCTAAATTTATGCTTAAAATAATGTTAAATGTGACAAGTTTCCCATTTTTTCATTTATTATACAAAAAAGTACAAAATAACATAAAAATAGTACACTTTTCCATCTAAAAGCCAGTCTGAAAGATTCTATATTTGACTTGGCACAATTTCTATTTCAGTTCCAACTTACATAACTTTATTACACAAATTACGCTCATTACAGAAATATAAAATGTAGAATTCAAGAACTGACAAATGTCAGAGCTTAAAAAATTTACATCTTAACATTAATAGCATCAAAAATTATATATTTGGTGGCACAAAATTTGATAATTTCAAGATATACACCACAATTTTCATACATTCAGAACTAATATTTAAGAATTCCAGAATGTTTACTAATTATCTTACTATTATTATAATTCATATGACATTTTTACATCCATATTTATAAATAAGCCTGTGATCTCAGAATCCCTAAAGCTTTACACCAAATTACTTGCTAAAGAAGCTTATTATAAGTAAGCAGATTACCTGAGTCACATTCTAGGAACTGGAAACTTGCTTTATTGGTAAATATTTCATAGTTATCAGATGGAATACTGCTCCCAATTTTAGAATAACACTGGCCACAATAAACAGGTCCAGAGAAAAGTAACTGTGTTTCACAATGGACATATGCAAAAAATGTATGAAAAGAATATAAAAACATACCTCCAAGTATAATTAGAAGCCTCAATATCATTGTTGCTTATGAGGTACAACAGACCAAGGTACACCTTTTAAAATGAAATGTTTTTTTTGGGGGGGGAGGGGGACTCCCCTTTTCTTTCTTTCTTTTTTTTTTTTTTTTAAAGAAAGGAATTTCTAAATGTGCCTTGTAGATTATGGATACTTATTTTTCAGTAATATGGCATTTATGAAGCTACTAAATGCATTCAAAAAATTAATTCATTTACCTTTTTTTAACAATATTACAATTAACTTGCATGACACTGTATATAAAGAAATTTTAATTATCCCCTACAACACAGAACAATTAAGTATTGCAAACATCAATTTCATGCACTTCATATAATTTTTTCTTACATTAAATTTTTAGAGAATACAAACAAAAATGAGTCATCAAACTACGCTTACATATATATAGTTCCTTTAGCACCACCTTTGCTAGTCTGCATTACCCTACTTAATAAGCTTTGCCGTAAATACTGAGAGTCTACTCCTAATAATGATGAAACAGTATGAAGTACATCCACAGTTCCTGGTGACAAACGACATCCCCCCTTGCAATCATCCGGATTATCTTCAAAAGTAATATTTCCAAGATGCAAAACAGCAGCAACCACAGTATATATATTCACTCTATCAGAATCAGCTAGTCCTTCATAAAAAGAATCATGAATAAAATGCATAAGCATCACATAATTATGTTAAAGGCAATTTATTTAACAAATAAAATGTTATTGCTCAGTACAGCAACACTACTTTACTAAACAAAAATCTGGAAGCATTTGATACAGAATTTGGATACAAACATTAAAATTTAATATGGCAAGTACCTGAAGATGATGAAATTTTATTATTTATGCTCAAAAGGTGAAAATTATTAGCTTAAACACTGAAAAATAAAACCTGATAAGCAATTGGCTCTTTAGTAATAATACAAATAAATTACTAAAAATAAAAGCAAATATTTATCTGTATGTGTTTTGCAGACTTGTACATAGCTGTTCTGTTTTTAGTACAATGAGAAACCATGATATATTGGTTTTGTATTAAACACATTTCTGCATATTTAAAGGTGTATTTTTTATTTATTATATTTAATGCAGGAAATATCGTATAACTGAATCTACTTAGCTAATATATGGTTTGGGTAGAACTTAAAGATGTGAACTAACAAAATCTATCAAATTTACAAGAAAAATTTAGCAACTTCCAGACACTTGTCAGTTTTGGACACTTAGTATCAAAAGATAGGAACACAGAGAAAACTTCTGGCACTGCAAAGTGAAATGAGTATAATAAAGGATTAAAGAAAGTGGAATTTAAAACTGCACACATATGTCAATTTAAAAGCTCATTGCTGATGATGCAGCTGGCCCTTGAAGAAACACTCAGAAAACCATGCAAAACACATAGCATTGTCATCCCTAGACCTCTTAACAGTTGTTAATCCTTTCTTATCGTCCTTTTTAATATAAATGCTTGAATGTCACTCAGATCTGCAGCAGTATGTGGCACTGAATTCATGCTGGTAGGGAAAATTAAAGGAATAACTATTAAAATCATGTAATCTGAATGGTTTTGCAGCTAAGAACATGGAATTCAGAAAAGCGCTTTATTTTGTCATGCCTGGTAAATCAAAATGCAGAATTGCCTAGTTCTGCAATAGACAAATTTAAATAACACAGAAAATGTGATATAAAGTAGGGTGAGAAAATGTTGTTGTTACAGCTTTTTAAAGATCCTCCCTCCCAAAAGGAAGAAGGTTATGCTCTCCATCAGCTGAAATGTGAGCTGTGTATTACACTATCCAGCATAATAAAGTGTCTTTCTCATGAACTGTGCCCTCAAGCTCTTCAATAGTGATAGGTGAGGGCTCCCAGTGCTGCAAATCATCATCCTAGGGAATTCCACACATTTTCTACCAGATTTATGTCTCGGTTTGGTTTATTTAATTATGGCAGAGCACACTAGGATTTATGTCTCGAAAATGTACAGGCCACTCCATGCATTTGATTCCTTCACCTTTAAAATTATTGATCACTAGTACAGCATGATGGAGATGAGCATCATCATCCTTTAGGAGGAAGTTATTACCAACAGCAACTTAAAAAATTTGATGTAAAGATTAAGAACCTTAGCTGTGTATATTATAGCATTCATAGTTGCTCTCATAAAAATATGTCAGTGTGGCCATTCAAAATAATACTTGCCCACCTCATGATTCTACCACCTTTGCACTCAGCCTTTTACAGATGTTTTCAGGCTTACTGCCGCTGTTTGCTTTTTCCACATTACCACTGCGACTCCTATTAAATAAAAAATAAAATCATGGCTCCAATCTGTGGCACTTTCCAATCATGACCATCTTCGCAAAACTACATTTTACAGCCTGAGTAAAGGAACATAAATCAAACTCATGGTATGTCTTCATAGTCCAGTTCCTGTAGCTACAGAGTTCTCTTGCAACCTGAGCTGATATTAAGTGTCTAATTCTTTCAGCAATCATTGCCAAATAATAGTTCTGAAAGTCGTGGCACATTTTTTACCTTTACCTGGTGGTCTATATACATCATCAGTGTCTTTAAATCATTCCCAGATTCCTAAAACGACATTTTTGCCTACTTTTAGGTATCTGCAGATCTATGTCAATGTTTGCCCTGCTTCATTCTCCCAATTAAATATTATTTCTCATGCCTTCTCAATAATATGTTCCATATGCAAAAATTATTATAATTAACCTTATTCTTCTCAACAAAATGGAATAGCTGAATGAAAGAAGCACTAATTATTAGAGATGACCAGAGCAATGCTAAAGAGCACTAATGCATTGGGGTGAAGATGTTATATAGCAAATCACCAGAAAAATAGATTGAAAATGAAAGAATATAAAAGAACGCTTTGTGAGAAATGGCAAAAGGAAACCAATATTAGTGCAAACACAAGCACTTGGTAATATGGCACATATGCACATACCAAAGGAAAGGAGGGAAAACCTGGAAGACTTATCTGTTAACAAATTATGACTGGATATGAAGAAGGAACCAAAGATTTTCATTTGCTGGCTACAGATGGTATCATGATTAACTATAATGTGAGGTTTATACCAAAAGAATCCCCCTTCTTAGGACAAAGAAGAAGGCATGAAAGCTGTAACTATTTTAGACAATTAAAAAAAGATAATTAAAAAAAGGGGATATTTCTCAAAATACAGAAATAAGATGATATCAATAAAGCAAAAGTGTACCACCTGTCAGATAACAACACCAGTTCTTTCACAGCACAATTAGAGGAAGCAGATCCAACATCATACCATGAAACTTAATCAGTTGCCCCTGCGGAAAAATGGAACCAAGCCATGCAAAAAGAGATCAATGCTTTAACTGTGACTGGCAAGGCAATGTATTTACAGCATAGAATATTTTTTGTGACAACTTTAAGGAAGTATACATACGCACATCTTGAAATATGTACCATAAATTAAGGCAAGGTATTAAAAGTACATACATCCATAAAGTACCAGTGGTATTCCAGCAATAAAATGAAGAAAACACCTTTATTTCACAGCAGTTTGAGGAAATTTGGAGTTTTTTAGTTAAATCCCATGCTGGTCAAACAGTTACAGAATTGTTCATGGACATTCAGAAATGCTTCTAAGGATAAGACCATCATATGCTGCAAGTGTGTGTATAAGAACCAAAAGAGATGGTTCAGAAAACATTTCTCATTATAAAGCTATAGTGATTGCTCAAGTATACTAGGGAAAATACGGACATTTCTACAATGAAGTATTTGGCCCTGTAACCAAGCTAACTACTCTGAGAATGCCTCTTACTATAGCAGGAAAAAGAAAAATGCCAGTCAGACATTATGATATCCAGTCAGCAAATTCAAATGGAGATTTATCGCATGATATACAAATGAAGAAACCTCCCGGATTTGAAGATGATAAAAATTAAGTTTCAGGCTTCTAAAGAACTTATATGAACTCAAGCAAGAAGTAAATGAACAGAATGGAAAGCTCAAAATGATTCTTGTTTGAATACCAGACAAAATAAAGAAGGATTTGTATGCGTCTCCTTCCTTGATAGGGATGATGCAGTCATTGAGGTAAACAGAAAATTTACTTGAAAATTCTGAAAACTAAATTAGTGAATATTTCACAATGAAATATTTAGGAAATTTTCATTACCATTTAGGCATATATTTTGAATTTTACAGTGATGAAATGTTCTATAGACCAATCAACTACACTTCAAGAAAGCTGAAACAGTATCACCTGAAGGATTGCAAGACATACATGTTTCCTAGTGATCCAGGCAAAAGCAGCTTCGTACAAGCAAAAGAAAAATCTCAAAAGCTTTCAGTAAAGCTGAAAAATATAAAAGAGCAAAAGGATTATTACTATACCTAGTCATTAATATTAGACCATAAACAGCAGCTGTTGTTTCCATCTTAAGCCAGAAAGGCCTCAAACCCTACCAAAACTGACTGGACAGATGTCAAAAGACTTCAGATATTTGAAAATAACTAAAGACCTTAAATTACATTTAGGAAAATATAAGTGAAATGGAAAACAACTGTTATGCTATGTGAATGCACACTAGGAAATCGTCCATGCTGATATGAAATCTAAATCCAGATACTTCTTTGCATTTAAAGGCAAAGATTTTACACAGAATTGCAGAAAATAATTATGTGTGCCTTAGTCATCAACTGTAACAGATTTACAGCTCTTGCCACAGCAGCAAAGGAGACAGGTTTAAAAGACTGCATTGGAAGATTCCCTTGAAATTGAAACTGTTTGCATTTTCTATGAGAATGATCGATGCTGCTTCAAAATACTAAATAATGATAGAGACAATAGAACTAATATGTTCTACCATTGTCTTGACAGAGATTTACTTTGTCTACATGTAAAACTAAGTACAATTTTGTCAAAGATCTTGTTAAAGATGAAATTTATGAACTCCAATACCTTCCCACTGAAGAAATGACTGCATTAACACACCCAGTAAGAACAAACTACAAACTTCTAGGCAAAATCTTGAATCATGTTAAAAGTGTAATTTTCATGTTATAAATTCATTATGAATATCAAGGTAAGTCAATTTTCCTGTAACAAGGATAACTCATTGAGGAGGGGTGTTGCTCTATTTATATTTTAGCCTCTGAATTTTCTTCAGATGCAATGATTGTGGCGATTTTCATCCTTTCTTGGCTTACAGTTTTTGCAAATCTATCACGTAATGTGTAACGTAATGTGTAAATGTATTGTTTATGGTATGCTGCCAGCATTAGCTCTCAACATCTGTAGCAAAATGTAATGATGCTACTGTGTGCACACTACCATTCTCATGATAAAATATTAAATTGCAATTCACTACACTTGAAATTATTGCTACAAATAACAGAAAATACACTATTTTGCAAAAATAAACTGCCATTTTGAACACCATTCTTTGTATTTATTTTGTCTGCTATTTTAAGTAATTTAATCTGTCACAAATCTCTGTCTTTATCTTAACAGAAAGCACAACCTTACAGATGTATTTTATTTTCTTACTACATATTCTGAACATGAGTTTTCCCTCTACTTACTTTTACGACATTCTGAATATGATTTAATTATTACAGTTAGCCTTGCTACTCCAATAATGCTAATAGTATTTCCCACTTGTAACATTCATAAGTCTAGTTCTGTCAATCTCCTGAGAAATCTGAGGGAAGAATTACAAATTTAAATGATAAATTTTTTTAAAAAAATTATTGATAAAGCTGATCTTGCATGTATTTTGGTGTTTTCTTAAATAATTCTTCACCTGTAAATGGATAGAATTTGCACTGTAACATAATCACTTGGGCTTCACTAAATTACTTCTTTGAATGTTGCTATGTTAGTTTTTATTTGTTTTTCTTATCAGTCTGGAATTCGTGAAGGAATGGAATCTGCTTCATATCCATTCATACCAATGCTTTCTCAGTTCACGCTTGAAGATTCTATTGATGGTGAGATCAAGTGACTGTAAAATTTTGCATGCCCCCCTGGTGTCACTAACACACTTGTTCTAAGTCTTTTTGCTTTGGATTTTACTGTATTTACTATGATGAATTCCCAAGGTTGAAAAAAAAAAAACACCTTTCCTTTTTTAATTATATTTCTCTCAGTTGAAACAAGATTACTTGTTCGTGCATCCATCATTTTTTGGTAATGGAGATAATGACCCCTTTAAAATGCAATTCTTTTGAAAATTATCAAAGAAATTAACTCCTCTCAATTGGCGGCAGAATCCAAAACACAAGTAAAAAAAGTCTTTTCATTCCCAGTTGTTAACACAGAAACAGTATTTTCACCTTTTGAATAAACAATTCTGCTCAGAGCACAGTCAAAAGTAACCAGCACTTTATTTCCTATCTATTAAAATTACGTTCTTTAATTTTCTTAAATGTGCCCTACAAGAAAAGCTACTTTTTTCTCAAGCCAGTCCACGGAAAGCTGCTGTCCAACCCTTTTGTCTTTGATGGATAATTTCTTTTATTTCATGAACCTGAAAAACCAATCAGGTCCTTCAAACAAAATTTTTGATGCCCATTTGCTCAGCAATTACTTTGTTTGAAGACAGATCTTAATGGTTTACACTGATAAGCCCTTTCTTCTCTGCTCAGTCATCCATTTCTTTAAAACTGTCTTCGAAAACAAAACTTCCAAAACAGGTCAGGCTATGATGCTAGTCAAACAAGATCTTTTAATCTTAGGCATTTTCTCTAATTCTTCTTGTTTGAACTCCCAATCGTGAATGCACCACTTGTTGACTTGAAATTCTCTAGCCACAGCCCAATATCTAATTTTTATTGCTTCCTTCAGTGCCAAAAGCTTGTAGCTGTATAACATTTTCTTTGAGTAAGAGCCATAATTATAACAATAATTTAAAAATTTTAACAAGTGCAAATGATAAAGTAAGCAAAAAGCAAACCATAAAGCAGTGAGACGTGTGGTAAAATGAACACAGAATTTTTAGAAATTAAAGTTTCTACAGATATTAAAAAAAACTCAGCGGAAAATACAGAGAAAATCATGGATTTAAGCAGAAAGTATGTGCATTACAGGGTCTTTATGCTGAGTGTACTATTGTTACATGATTTTATGAGAGTTACAACTTGATGCACTGCCTTAGTGCAACCTAAGCACTCATAATAGGGTAAAATATCACAACAAATTCTACATTAACAATTTTGCATGTGCGAAGTTTTAAAGACCGAAGAAAAATAAAATTCCTTCAGGTACAGAGCAGATTTAAACTTTTAAACATATATAAGCCACAGCTCAGCTACATAAAATTACGGTACAACCCTGAGCAAATTAAAAAGAAAAAAAAAAATTACATTGCAAAAAGATTAAAAGATTTTTTTTAAAAAAATATGCCTAGCCAGCTTATTCCAAAATGTAAGCATGAATTAGCATGTAAACAGAAACATGATTTGGTTTCTGCTTCAACTACATAACTGATAATTATAATAATTAAAATTTCAAAAATGCAGTAGTAATTTGTCATAAAAAGTTGTATTATTCAGTATTAATTCAATAAAATTCAACTTACCCATATTAGTTAAAGCTTTATCTAATGTCTTAAAGTTTTTGATGTCATCCAACATTGGATCATGTAATGAACCTTTCGCATGCTGATCATTTGATACTGAATTTGCACTTAGCATTTTTTCAGTTTCTTGAGATGCAAAATACTGTGTGCAACCTTTGTTTAAATACTAAAGAAAAATATAAATAAAAACATATCCAGAAATTAGACAAAAATTGAAAAGCATTCACATAGTCCCTCCAAACACAGGATCCACTATTTTATGGATCAGAGATTTCAATTTTTAAAAAACATATACGGAACCAAACAAACCAAAGTAGTTTTGGCCAAATATCAATATTAAAAAACAAAGTAATGACACATTCGTTAAATTCAGATACAGTTATCTAAAAAAATAAAATCAGGGTATTTTTTGATTCTCAGCAACCAACTGCCGAAAATTCACCACATTCTGCCAACTATTTCTTGCCAAGTTAAGACGTAAAAGACAACAGACGTAAAAGACAATATTTTCAAAAATGGTAATACACTAAGAATCACACAAAATAGCCACTTTAAAAAATTAAAAATGCAGGAATTATTTCAAACGTCTTTCTAGTAATTCTTTTAGAAAAAATTCAGTAACCAGTAATTTTTCCATTCTAGCTTTTTTGTTTGTACTATCAATTAATATAATTAAAACGAGAAATGTAAGGTAAAATTTTAATATTTTAATGATTCATCTTTTCCATTAATTGATGATACAAATTGGTTTGAGAAGTAATCAAATCAAAGAAATTACTATCAATTAATAAATATACTACTTCACTTGTAGTTTCTGGATCTTCAGAATGAATGGTTATATTTGTAACATTTTTATAATCATCCAAGATAGCTATGGTATCATCTCCAGCCATTCTTTTTCAGAATCTCTATTTTTGCTATCTGACAATAGTACATTCTTTTTCTGAGGTCATCAAGGTAATCTAATGTCAGACTAATTATTATCTTCCAATAAAGTATCATCTTGTAGCTAACTACAACAACCATTAAGATAACCAGAAAAATTGTAAGCAAAATTTCTTCACTGTTGCAACACAGCAATATGCAATATTAAAAGATGGGTGGCAAAAAAACTGGTTATGAGTCAAAAGAATACTGATTTAACAGTTGAGAAAAAACGTGTGCATGGCAAAGAGGAAATCACATCTTATTTTGCACCAAAAAGTAACAGTGGCCAGAATAAAAAACCAGTGAAGTGTGTCTTAGCTTGTACTTTTTATAACCTGATCAAAGATAGCTAAAACTATCCACATCATAAATTTTTTATAAATTCATGTAAGTATGGCTGTGGATATAACTGTGAGCGATGTTTGGATACAAATCTGTAGGTACCTGCAATTGACCACCACAGGCTGAACATAGAAACACTAATATACTCCTGACCAGTCCGCAAGATGCTAAAGACTTACATTACTGTTAAAAATCATAGTGATATTACTTAAATACACTGATATATTTTTTTCAGTTTCACATAAAATGCAGTTCAGGCAACTTCAAAAACTAAAAATTTGAGATTCAAATTATACAGTGTTTACAAGCTATTCTTATAGAACTTTTAATTCACTACATATACAGATTAATGATCTGCAGTAGCAGTACCAGACACTTCAGTACAAAACTTTGCAATTTTATCACTGCGTTTTAAAACTATTTACCTGAAATGAATCTGGACTAGAGAGTTTCAGCTTCTTTTTTAATTCTGAAGGAGCACCAGCACAAAGTTGATAAAATATATGAAAATTCCTTTCAGCTCTGCTTTGAGAACAAATGCGACTCTTCTCTAATAAGTAATGACTTATGAAGCCACCAACAACTGAAAACTAAAAGACAGAATTATATATATATATATATATATATATAATTTTATATATTTTATATTCATGAGCAATTATTACAAAGATAATTTAATTACTTGCCTTATTGTTAAAATGTATCTCAATAAATTTTCCAAACCGACTACTGTTGTTATTCCTCATTGTTTTTGCATTTCCAAATGCTTCGAGTACTGGATTTGCTGGAAAATGTATGCCAGTCAAAAAGCAATATTTTTATATTATACAGAAATCATCTCCACAAATAATCACATTACATAATGTCTCTTAAAAAAAGTACAAATGTATCCAACATTTTGTGAAATAAATTTAGATTTTAATTCCCCAAGTAAATATTGATTTTAATTGATACAGAGAAAAAAAAAAGTAATTGAAAAGTTTTAATTTTCATGATGGGGTAAAATCAAATGCATAAGAAAGAAATCATGAAATAATTAAAAAATAACAAATGTGGTAAAAGAAGTCAAAATTGGTCAATGCTTTTAGAATGAATGAGGCAACAACATTAACCATTTTCACATAAATGAAATGATTATTCATATAAATAAGATTCTGTAACAAGAACTGCATTTTAGTTAATGCTGAAGTTATTAAAATAAATGTTTTAAATTACATTGAAAGAACACAACAAAGTTGTATGATCAAAGGATTGGCTAGTCAGTTTAAAAAGTGCACTAGATTGCATAGAATGACAGTCTCAGGAAAACTGGCACATGCTGACCAAGAAGCTACGAGATGGGGGGATTTAGATAAGGAAACTATGATGACAGGCATATAGTTAACAAAACTGTTTTGTTTCAGAAACACATGCCCTAAAATAGAAAAAAAAAGCTGCCCCTGTTTAAATAGCATCAAGATACTGAGTCAATGGTACTTTCTGATTATCTGCACCCCACCAAAAAGTTGTGAAAATGTATTCATGAGGCAAAGCAGTATGTCATCAAAACAATTACATGGCAAACCAAAATGCTGCCAAAAAGTATGCAACAACCAAGGTAAGAGAAAAGTACAAGTTTGTTTTGGCCATATCCAATTGCATATCCATATTGCATAATGTTGAGTAAAAGAAATTCTCTGGTACTTTTTTAAGCAAAAACAGATTGATGCATATGTAGGTAGAACAATAGCACACACACACAAGATAATAAAGAGGTTATGTTATTTGATTCAAGCAAAACAGCTGAAGGGCCATGTGCTTGCAAGAAAGGATGGCTTTATGGAGAACTTTTTATGGGAAACTAGCATGTATCCATATTGAAGAATATAAAAATTTCCATTTAGCCAGCCTGTATGCCAGGATTCAAACCTCAGACAGAAACTACCAGTGTTCAGTGACTTTTCAGAATAGGAAATTGGTCAGCATAAAAATAAGTAAAGAAATAATTCTTGAAAGAGGTAAGTGTTTTAACAGACGATGCTTGCTTTTTTGATTTTACTGATTGATTGTTCTTGCATGAAATTATTAGTGCACTGCCATTTCAAGAATGGCTATTGTTTTTGCACCTTAGCTTGTCAAAAAATTAGTTGCTAATGAGATCACGATTTTTTGTTTAGTAGAGTTCAGAAAATCAGAAAGTACCACATTAGTTTTAAAGGGAGAAAATGCTAAAGGCAATTTTAAACTAAGCACAGTGGTCATAACTCCAAATCCTAAAATCCTTAGAGGTTATAACAACCAAATAGTACCAGTATTTTGCCACTTAAAATAAATGAATCCTGAGGAACAAAACTGTTTTGTAAAGTTTGACTCAAAATTTATTTCTCTCTATCAGTAAAATGATAGTATGAACAAAATAATCTTTGTATTAGTTTTATTGCTTTTAGATAGCATCAGTGCCTTTTCACCAGCATTAAGTGACCTACATAAAAAAAAGTGTAAAAAATATGTTTCCACCTCCCAACGCAACCTGTGGAATTTGAGGATCTTTGTTAATAGCACAGTTCAAAGTAAAATTCAAAATAAAAAGCGCATTTGAAAATATTTTAAGATTATTTTAAGAAAATGATACCAAAGTATACAACATCTGCATGGAAAGACCTTCCAGCTCATGCAGTTGAATCTGTTAGTAATCAGTATCAATTGATAACAGATATTTATGAAACTGCCATCACTGAAAAAGAACTAGAATAAATGCATAGAAATTACTGATTCCACATCATGAAGAGTTAAACAATAGGAATTTCATTGAGACTGATAAACAGCAAGATATCAATTCGAAATTAGAGATTTGGTGATTAAAAAAGCACTTCCAGAAGAGAAATAAACTTTCAAAAGTTGAAGAAAATATTTCATGCTGCTAAAGATTTGAAGCAATAAATTAAAGACTATAACCATAAGAAGTATGCAAGTTTCCTCTATGATTTACAATGCACTGAACTTGTGACAGAAAAAAGTAAAAAGGAAGGGGGGAAGAGAGTATTCAAGATTATTTTAGACTTTTTTTAGTTAATTTTGATAGTTAAAATATAAAAAGGAATTTTTATGAACACTTTTTCATTAAAAACTGCATTTTGCAGATATTAATGAACTTTGTAAAACAAGGTTTATATAATTATTTTGCAGACACATTCCTGTATGATTATTTTGCTTATTTAACTGAAGATGAAGTTTACCATCTAATATTCTTTGCTCTATTGGCCCAGCATGACACCCCCATGATTCACAGAGATACCGAAGAATATATTTGGTGGATTCAGTCTTCCCAGCTCCAGATTCACCACTCACAATTATGGATTGACTTTCCTTTAGTGCTCTCATGTCACGAAAAGCTTTATCCGCTGGATAACAACATTAAATTTGAAAAAAAAATCAGTGCATAAGAGAATTATTAAACAAGTATCTGAAAGAAATTACATTAAATTTTAACACATATACATATGTAAGTGAAACAAAAAAAGCAGATGTGTACACCACATGACTTCATTGTATGGAATATTAACGCTTTCAAGACTAAAAATGAACTGCCTTGGGACGTACTGTCCTGTGAGCCTCAAAAGGGTTAAATTGTATGCAATTTTTACTTCGTTTCATTTGAACTTATTGAATCAAATTAAATCTACTTAATTAGTGCATAAACCACAATAGAATAAATGCACTCCTTAAAATTCACTACATTTATTTACTACAGCAGCACTTTGGTGCTTGAGAATGCACAAAAATTATATCATCTGAAGATTTCTCTAATCGTTGCCACATGTTCTATTCAAATACTATAATAAATATAAAGCAATGTATAAAAGAAATAAAAAATAACACAGACTTTTTCACAGACAGCTCAGCGGCGCTTATATAATGCACATGCACTACTCATAAACATCCTCCTCTGTCCGAGACCGACTGGCGACAATATTTGCTACTACTACAAAACACGTATTTCATCAAATTTCATTAGATATATTTCTCATTCAATTAATTCAGTTCTCATTTCACCCCAAAACAGGCAAATCAGCCAGCAGGCATGAAGGCAGATTTTTCGGTGCACAGAACTAAAAGTTTCCTTTTGGTCCCACTCAGCAACAGGACACTGAAGGTGCCGAAAGAATCAATTCACACTATTCTGCCAAGTTTCAAATGTAAACAAATATGGCTGCTATGGTAAAAAAAAAATAGGCTTAGCCATGCTTAAACAACTTAAATTGTTGATAATTCTACAAATATTTCATGTGGATTAACTAAAGGCATAAAAACATTTAATTGGAAGATAAGAACACAATTCAATCATTTTAAAGCAAAAAATGCACAATTTACCAACATATAAAAATTAAAAAAAGAGCTCACTGAGCCAAGTAACAGAGTGGGTTATATATATATATGTATTTATATACTTTTTGGTGTGGCTCATTGCACCCAAAAAGGGAGGTGCACAACTACATGTTATAGCAGTCATGTTACAAAATATCAAAGTTTTAAGACTACTACTTTTTGAGTTGTGCAAGATACATATGTATGTACTCAGAGGTACGACGGAAAAAATCTCTTCTGTTTCCATTTTAAATCAGTTTTATAATTAATTTGTTTGGGGAAAAAAAAGAGTCTTTTATTTTGTCCTTAAGTAGAGATATCAGGCAAAAACATTTTTAAATTGCATTTGATAGCAGTTAAAATGGATATTTTTGCTGAAATATGGCACCCGGATTTTTTCGTGATTACGATACTTCCTTTACTTTGTGTAAGGAAGTAAAAATAATGAAATCAAACTCCATTCCATAAACACTTGTTTTATAAAACAATGAATCACAAATTCACCTTTAGAAACAAAAGACTTAAACTTACAGGGGAACATGAAAATTGTCCAAATTTTCCCCAATGCAAAACCAAATATTTGCTAGCATACTACTGCATGATAATGCCACGTTGCATTCAAAATTTAAATAAAGAATTATACCTTTTCCAGATTAGACTCTGACAAAAGCAGGCTCTGCTAAGGAAAAAGATACCCTTCATGGAGCATATTGAAGGGAAACTGGCTTGTACTCATGTTATATATACATGGGGGAAACGCCTACACAGCCAGCCAATCTGCTGAGATTTGACCGATATACCGATGTTCAGTAGTTTCACACATTGTCCAAAGGTAAGCACCATATTTTAGAAGCTCAAGTGTTATGAATTACTCTTAGGTATGAATTAGGCCATAAAGGCATGGTATTGTTGGACATAATATATAAAAGATTAAAACATTTTACTCTAAGAAATTTCAGCTTTAACTGCTATTCAATTACATCCACAAATCAATATTTCTTTTTAAAAAACTAGTCTGTGATAATGGTTTCCTGAAGAGTACAGAAATGTAATTAAATGTATAAGCAATACAAGAACGTTCAAATATATAATGAAAATATTTATTAAGATAAATTTTAATAATCTGTATTTTGATAATTAATTAGAGCTTGCCTTCTTAATTTAGCACTAGTAGCTTGACTTTACTTTTCTAAAATATAAACTTAAATGAATTAAAGTGGAAACAGTTATCTGTAACTCTTAACCATGACTTTCTAATGATCTGATAGCCCCTGAGACAATCCTATGGGCAGAAAAACATCCTAAAAAAAAAAATAAATGGGTAAAATAAAATAAAATATGCTTGTTTGTGGCTGTTTAAAATCAAGCTATTTTAAGGAAAACAACCGTATGCAGTCAAATAAAACCACACACAAACAAAAAAGAAAAGCTTTTTCATAAAAATTATCATGCAAATTCAGAATATATAGGATGTTGTATGTTATACTCTTTACGAATAATTTTCTCAGCAACTTCATGTATCAATCAATGCATAAAACCTTGGCAGAAAATTCTGCTTCATAATAAGAAATTAAATTAAGCTATAATGAGATGAATTTTCAATTATAATCTTGATTTCACCTCTACTATAGTAAATAGGGGTTTTTTATTACTGAATACTCATTATGCAGTAAGGGGCCTATTATTTGATTATGGCAAAGCACACTAGCTTATATGAAGGTGGTGGCATGAGTTTCTATTATTCACCTAAGATTTTTATCTGGCAAGATGGGTTACAGCCAAAAACATCGCAGACAAAAGAATGCAAGGCAAAAATGCCATGTTACAAAAAATCGTGGGAGAAAATAAAGCAGAGATAACAACTTGGTACAAAATATCGTTGAAAATAAAGCAGTTAAAAAACTTCGCAGTTTAAAAATATCGTCGAAAATACCGTGGTAAAAAATAAATTACTTACAAATCATTGCATGATGATAACATCGCATATATATGTTTTTCAGGCTTTAATAATTGTAAATGGATACTCGCATAATGATTTGTGAGTGCAAAAAGGAAAGATGGATAATTTTCACTTTCATATTTTTTTTATAAACTAATAAACATTTAAAAAAAACAGAAAAAGAAATTTAAACATACAAGAAATAATTTTCACTATAAGAGTATCAGATTAACAAAAGTGAAGAAAATAATCTCATAATTAACTTAGCAATTTTTTTATAGATAAGGTCATGCAGTTACTGACCTTTCTTTTTCTAGTCTTTTTTAGATTATACTTTTCATTAAAATTTACCAGTAAAACTTTATAAAAAAATAATTTATTAATGACCTTAGTTACATAACTGTGTCAAGTTAAAATTCCATTAAGTGCTATAAGTTGCATTAATTTTCTATGCTTAAGTTTCCAGTTTACATTTTCAGCAAATATTCATTAGTAAATAAAAGATATGAAAGTAAAAATTGTCCATCTTGGACTCACAAATGATTATGCAAGTATCCTTTTATATAATTAAAGGAAACACTAATTACTGATAATATTCTGAAAAACGCATGTCTACAATGATTTGCAGGTACTTTATTTTTTACCACGGTACTTTTGACAACGATGTTTTGAAACTGTGAAGTTTTTTAACTGCATTACTTTTGGCAACGATAGTTTGTACCATGACATTTTAGAACTGCAAAAGTTTTCTCTTTGCTTTACTTTCTACCATGATGTTCATGCCTTGTGTTGTTTTCTTCATGACGTTTTTGTCCACGATGTTTTCAGCGGACACCAGCAAGATGACAACCCCATCACTGATAGGTAATACATTCCACAGTACTAACTTCTTTCAAATAGTTCAATCTATATTTATCACTTGCATTACTCATTATTTCAAATACTTTTAACTACTGGTATTATTTGCCTCTTATTATTAGGTTACAAAAAGTTCCATTTAATGAAATAGTTGATTCATAATTTAAATTACAGAATAATGCACAAAGGATATCTGAGTTGATTGAGTGCTTTTTATGAAGAATATTTTAATATGGGATGGATTACATATAATTCAAAAGAAAAGATTTTAAAAACACATTAACTTATTATGGCAAGTACTCCACAGAATATTATCATTAATCAGTGGGTTCATCACCTTGCAGTTTTGAATTTTCTAATTGTAATAAATTACTTTGAGAAAAGAAAATATATATATGGCTTATTCCTACAACAAAAGTAAGGCATTTTATAGCACGAAATTGCTTATAAATTTTCTTAATCATCTAACAAAGGAATAGTATTAGTAAGAAAAACAGACTGCTATTAACTATACTTAAGAAAAGGGTAGTATTTGTAAAATTAATACAACAGTAATTACATAGAATTATTTTGTAATGGAAATAAATTAAGCTTCCTTATGAGAAGTCAAAATACAACTATACCTATAGCAAACACATGAGGTGGAAGCACGCCTAATGATTTTCCTTGATATTTAGATATTGTCTCTGAAGAATATAAATTCTTGATTTCAAAATATGGATTAACTGCTACTAAGATATTTGCCACATATGTCTGCAAGGGAAAAAATATATATATTAATGCACATACTTTGAACACTTGCAGCACCTAAATATTACATTTTAAGTCTATTTAGATCACAACACCGTATATCACATCTGTACTCTGCATCATGTTTTGAAATTTAAAATATAAAATTGAGTACAACATTCAGGCATTTTACCAGGCACAAAAATGATTTATTTAACCCTTAACCATAACACTGCAGTTTCAAAGAGCCTAAAAAGAAATTTATTGAAAATCAGAATTTTTATTAAATACAACCAACATCGCAATAATAACAAATTTGTTTTTAACTAACACTATAACATGTTGATAATGGCCAATCATCCGGCACCTGACAAATCAGAAAGCTAATGCAACCAAAAATATTTTAGAATTTCAGATAATTTTTCACCCTGAAAAATTAAACAAACCAGAGATTTATAAAGCCATTATACAACTTGCAAAGGGCATGATAGCCAGACAGTGTGATTTAGCGTCAATAATGGATAAGCTGGATGTCACAACACAATCGTAAGATTTTTTACCTTGGTATTATGTAAACCCAATCAATTCTCAAAAGCCTGGCTTAATTTTTTCTAGTGATAAGTTAACTGCAGGTTGCTTTTCCCTCACAACTTGAAAAATACTGGCATTTTGGACCTATTTTCCACAGTAAAGCAAACAATTTCCAAAATTATGAGATCCTGGCATCAAGAAAAATGTGCATTAATGGACATGGTTATGCAACTTCATTTGAAAATGGATAAAAATTGGCAATTCAGAGTTAAAAGTTATGATAAGCGATTTAAGTTTTTTTATATGCTATATCTGTATCTTACATCTGTTGATTATTAACTAAATAAAAAAAATGATCTGTTCCTTTAAACTTTCAGCTAGAAGGAAAGGCACTTTTTTGGCAACACTGAGGCCAACTTTCACAACAGATAGGATTTCATAAGCAGATAAAATGTTTTACTTTTACATGTTTAACACCTACAAAATGTCAACTTTTATGTTGAAAATGCATTTTTCAAAACAATCTTACATAATTTTAAATGCAGGCATTTTATAATAAAGTTCATAAATAAAACTACTGTTTTTGTAATTTTAGACTGGAAATTTAAATTCACTTAGTTTTTTTACATGCTCAGATGTCCAAAATTTTCCTGTATCCAGTAGTTAGCATTCTTGGTGCTATCACGATACTAGAATTTGGAAATATTTACTGTACTAATGTCTAGAAACTTTCAATATGTTTCTTTTCAGAGAAAATATTCAATACTGAAATTCTAATATGTAAGTAGCAGATTCTTGCCATTTGGAACACAGTTCCCTAATTTTTTGGCTACACTACCTTCTTCTGATGATTATTTTTCTCAGTCCTTCGGACTTTCAGCTGAGGCCTTTGAACTTATTTAGCATCCCCACTACCCTTTCAAGTGTGATATATTGGATGTCTTTTGAATGTAATCTGCTGGCTTTGACTGAAAATGCATAAAATTTTTTAGGTATTTACTGTACCTGCACTGCCTCAAATTATTAATTAAAACTCATGGTATAATATCGAAACAATTAAAGATTTCTGAGAATATTTAAAAACTGATAAAACTTTAGATTAATAGTATAGAATGCATAGTGGTATATACTGAAAGAACATACCACTTAGGTGCATTAGGTATCACTGTAAGTATGGATTTGGGACCATGATTTAGAATATTAGATTGATAATTTGCAAGTTTCTTGAAACAGATGAATGAAGCTACATGCAATTGAATTTACACATTTGTTTCAAAAACAAATCAAAAATCAAATTTTTGAAACATATTTTTATTCGTATTTGCATCTAACTGTCTCTCGGACCAATAACATCCAGCCCTCAAGATCTCCTTAGCATCCATGTTGGGAAGCTATGATGTATTACACTAAGGTAAAAAATACTTAAGACCTTTAACAAAAATGAACACATATAACAAAAAAATTCAAAGAATTAAAAAATATGCAAAAATACAGTACTTTAAATATTCAATTTATAAGCTTGTAGATTTTAGATGAATAGTCAAGTTATAGAGGTTTCCGGTACAGAAAATATAGACAGACTTATAGATAGACTTATATGTAGACTTCTAAATAGATGAAATATAGGCAATAACTATGGGGAGGCAGAAGATGATGTTAGCGGATATTGTATCAATCAGATGCTTTAATTTTTACCTTTTTTTTATTTTAATTTTTACCTATTTACTCAGACAAAACATCTGAGTTCATCAAAAATAATTGAAATTCTAAATGTAAAAATCAACAGTTTTTTGCACAGTTCTCACTTTTTACACCACTCCTTAATATTATATCTACAATTCTTTACTTTCATCTACTTATTAATCTGATGCATATTGATTTGGTTTCTCTAATGGTTTCAGTTTAGGTAATTTTAGACAATGTCAGTTCTACCTCTGCTAAAAACATTAACAATAACCCATCAAAATTAATGGCCTGAGTTTTTCTGTTTATGTGCACTTTAAAACGGTCAAATCAAAGTCAGAATCAATATAAAGATTTGAGAGAGGTGCTTATCTTTGCAGGTATGTGTCAAACACTTATTGAAACTTTGTATTAATGACTTAGAAAGAACATGAAAGTTGAAGAAATACAGGACAAGTTAAGATTGCTCTTATGTTTGAATTCTCATGGATTAACTTGGGCCATTGTTCTTAAAACTACTGAGACAGGAAGCGCAAATTCATTGCTGACATAAAATTTTGCCTAACAGGAAATGGTCAGGAAAAGTTGATATGATTGTCAATGCTATGGTTAAAAAAAAAAAAAAAAAAAAAAAAAAAAACACTTTTCTTATGTTCTAATACCCATCTATCATTCAATTTTTCCAGGTATAAATGGTTTAATCTTACAAATACCTTATGTGATAAAGATTATCCATATTTCCATCACTTTTTATACAGATAAGAGTAACTGTCAACTAACTGATAATATGATGCACAGTATTATTTATAACACATACAAGGATGGAAGAAGAAATATGTGAAAAACATCAAAATGTATCAGAATTTGCACAGATGAACACAAACCACATAGTCAAAATAAGTACAGAAAGGTACAAAGACACAATGAAAACATATAACACCAAGAAAAAGTGCCTCAAACAAGATAAAGCTCTACACACAGATAGAAAAGTACATTCTGAAAATATGTTCCAAATAACAGATGTGCTTAGTGATGATTCGAAAGCAAATGATAAAAAGCAGATCAACCATTTTGGGTAATAAGTAATACGATTCAGCAAGTGCTCAAATTCTGCCCAGGAAACCTGCAGATAATGTGAAATTAAGTCCTTAGTCCTTCAATTATGAATGCCCTAAAAATTACACATTCTCAAAATGCCGATTATTAATTCTCGACACAGTGGTAGTCATGCTGACTGAACAATCTGCAAAAGATTCCTGCTGCTATTATCTGTGTCATACAGCTGGAGAAATGCCTTCTGGTAACACAGGAACACTAGGTAATCCAATGTTTTGCAGCACAAGCATTCATAACAATTGTTCAGTACTAAATACTTGCATGAATATCACAGCTTCTGAGGAGTCTTGATGTATTCCACAGAGTTTCAAATACATGCATCATGATGGCTATCTATGTTCCAGTCCCAATACAAGTCACATTTTCATCTAGTTATTGTGATAAAATCCAAGTTACGATTGTCACATTTGTTTTTGCAGTAACAGAATACAATGACAAATTATATTATAAAATTAAATTATATTATATTAAGCCTATAATTAAGCATATCTGTGAACAAGAATATTCTGTAGTGAACAAGAATATTCTCAACACCACCTCAATCTTTAATCACTGTCCTGATGTAGAAAAGAGAAGGAGGGGGGATCTGCAACCCTCAGAAAATCTCAAAATGTAGCTTAACAGACTAGCTTTCTCCTATTATATTTCCACACTGCATAACAGATTGCAAACTGCAAATATCTATATAACTTGTTGGCATAATTATAGATTGAAATTTGAATATTGCCTAGTTAAAATTTTCACTGTGTTATACTTCCTCTTTGCAGGTTCAAATGGAATGCAACTACATGGCATAGCATTAATTACATTAAATGCACTACATAATTTCAACAAAGATGAAAACTAACTGCTGTTCTTGAAACTAGTTGGAGAACATGAGGTAGTACAGTAAAATGTTACTTTCTCTCCTCATTAACAAAAAACATTCCTAACATTAATAAATGCAAATTTTGCACTTTTAAGTTTCAAAATAATAAAGACAGTTGAATGATTTTTGAAAAGAATGAAATGACTATAAAAACTGAATTCACATATAGGGTTTAAAAGAAATGAATCGCTTCTCATTTATACTAATTGATTTCACTATTTGATTACAGCTATCTGCTTATGTGAAGGAAGTATTGGTTCATATTTATGAGAAAAATTACAAAATTCTCATATAGCTGTCTTTTTCAACCACTGGGAGTAGATTCTGAAATGAACTACATGTAACTTGAGGTTTTAGCCACTGCATCATTAGTCAGCCTTTTTTATGTACCTACGCAAAAATTTAGTGACTTGAATAAATAACATAGAATGTAACTATTCTTAGAAAATATAAGCATGCATTTCAAAATAATTAGACAAATACTAATGCTAATTAAAATTAATAACTTAATTTTCTAGAAATGGCTAAATATTTCAGCACATAATTTAGGTCATTTCTAAAATAATTAGATAGTTAATCTTGATGTTCTCTCGGTTACACACAATGAACAAAATGAAAAAGTTCTCAAAACTGAAGAATAAAAATAACAATATTTAACATTTTTAATGTTAACAAGATTTGTGAAAATATAATGGGTTAGCTAGGAATATTAACACATATTTTATATACCCTGATAGATGCACATGCATCATTAAAAACATAAACTTAATTAGAAATCAAAATAAAAAATACAAGGAATATAAAAAATATATAAATACAACATTATTTGATCTCTATTGTACCTCAGCCGAATATTATTTAATAATGTAGCTTCATTTAATGCATAATCACCTCTATTAGGGAAAAAGAAGTGAAAAAATTTTTATAACAACAAAAAAAAAAAAAAAACAGCAACACCCTAAAGTGTGGCAACAGATGAAGCAAACAAAAGTGCACTCTGTCAAGGATGTACAATGCACAAAAAAGAAAAAAAAAGGGAGGCAGTTCTACATCTCCCTTTCTACTGTGCCGATTGGTGAAATTAAAATTGCGTTTTTCATATCTCTAAAGTGCGACTTAGGATATGTATTAGATTTACATACAGTGTTGTTCTAATGCAGGTATTTTGACACAAAAATCGGACTTTTCTGAAATGACATGCCAATTTTTTAGTGGTGTGCACTACTATGAGGCATTGTAATGTGACAATCTAACCAAATATCTATCTAGAAATCCTTAATTTACATAAGCCCAAAATTTACTGGCCAGAATTCTTAGTGATTGTATATTGCGAATTATACCCTAGCATCAAGAATATTAAACATTTTATTACTCATAACCACATGCATGAGACTTCGGAGACACATTCTTTTCAGTCTCACATTATTTGATCAAACACATTTTCTGGATTAAATATGGAACATTTATCACACACATATAAAATATCAAAATATCATAACTTAGAACACAAAACGTGTGAACCTAAAATGGAATAGCAGACGAAAGCAGAAAACGTGTCTAGCAGTCGACCGATCTCAATCTATTCACATCATGCATATATGCAGTTGAAATTTTCCCATATTAATTTAGTGCAGTGCCCATATCATTGTTGTCCATGTGCAAGATCTTTTTTTTTTTCACTTTCACATTCTTTTACACACTTAAAATAATCACGTGGTCACACATCGCTGGTAATGCATCACTTTCTGGAGTCGAACACCTATATATAATCTGCTTGAGATGTTTTAGAACGGTATCGTGGCAGATGGATTATAACACTGAGCATTTCCATCTAAATAAATAACAACCTTTAGTTCAGCTTCCTTTTATGCAAAAATACGATGACACTCCATGTGAAAAATATCAGGAATGATGAAACTCCATTAGCGTGACATGCAGGAACACAAAACCGCACCATGTGGGGCGTCACGAATTGCCAAGCGACTGCCGGAAGGTCAAGGGCAAAGAAGGGAAGAAACCAGTCTGACCGGTGCTTAGATACACACGTGCAGTTCCATGATTACGATTAAAATATGTGATGCTGGCAAACTGTGTGGTGGAAAAGTTACTATTCTCACATATACTTTGATTCTACGACTCAAATTATGCCAAACTGCCACGCTTTGTAAAAACTGCACAAGTAGTTTTTAAAAAATTAGCTCTCAAAATTTTCGCTCCTCAGTGTTACCTGAATCTGATATATATATATTAATATCTTGTTTTTTTATTAAACTTACTTGATTCCTTCTTCCAGAATTCAAAATTTAGGATTAATCCAAATATAATTCGCACATTTTTTATGATTTATTTTTAAAATTTGTATTTTAAAATTTGTATTAAAATATTTTTAAATTTTTCGAAAAATTTTTTTATAAAATCAAATTTTAATGTCGTTTAAAGTAGATGTATTTCTGGCACATGTAAAAAATTAGAGTTTGTATTCAAAATTCTAAGATATACCGAATTTACATATTAGGCATTTTGAAATTTGGCATTTTTTTTAGCGACAATCGAAAACGATTACGCACTTTGTTAAAATTATTGAAAGTAGAACGATGACTTTCATGTCACAATGAAAAAAGAAAGGAAAATAGGTTACAACAAATTAAGATGATCTCAAGTAAATTATCTGGCGAACGAAAAAAAATACAGAAGATAATTTTTGAATTTCTTCATAAATTTTGCACCAAATTTACAAAATTAATATTTAGGCAGAATTGCAGTCATAGAATGGAAATACAGAAAAAATTGGCATGTCATATTTTGGAAAAAACCTGATTTTGTGTCAAAATATCTATGGTAGAATGATGCTGTATATAAATATAATACAAAATCCTAAGTCACACTTTTGAGACATGAAAAGAGAAATTTGAATTTCACCAATTGGCCCAGTAGAACAGGAAATATAGAACTGTCCCCCCCCTCTTTTTTTTTCCCACAGTGTACATAGTATCGGCTTAATCGAAATATAAAATTTTAATTCTATTTCGTAATGACAGGATCACAGAATTTTTTTTCTAATATTTATAGACATCACATTATTACATTACTTACATTACTGGTCATAAGTTTTCATTCTGTGAAGTAGTTCTAAACCGCTATTTGAAAATCATTACCAAGCTTGAAACTGTTTTTTTTTTTTTTTTTTTTTTTTATGTGTTTTTTTCTAGTCCACTGAAAATAACAAAATTGCCATGCAACCAGCCCTGCCTAGAACTGAACTAAGGGTGACCTACACTGTTCAGAGACTTCAGTGCTTGGCCACTGGTGGGCTTATGAACATTGTGAAATCAGAGCCCAGATCTTAAATTTCAAATGAACAACTTAATATGATTCTGAGAAGAAAAATCATTCTGAATACAAATTATGATGATGAAATGCAAGATAAGAAATTACATAGGCAAGTTTAAACTAATCCTAAGTTTCCCTCTAAGGAATACATACAGATGTCGCATCCGCGAGCATCTGGATATATCCCTTAGAAGAAAACTTTTACAGAATGCAGTCCATACTTCATAGCTTTATAATTTTTTTCTTCTACTACATCTGAACATAGTTATTGTTCAGAATGGAGATAGCTTTATTTTTATTCACTTTTCCTTCATGTAAAATCATAATGCAATCAGCTGAAATCATGTACCATTATAAAGCATCCACACTTTTCAATACATTTCTTGCACTAAGAATAAAAATTCTTTTCATGGACAATTCAATGCTGCATTAAGTTTTTCCTTTATATTTAAGACTTTCTGTATCCTATGAAAGCAAAGACATGGTGATATTCCTTCCTATGCTGAAAAAGTAATTTATCTTCTGTTGTTCTGTATCACAACGTTCTTCGAAAAGCAAATTTTTTTCGAAAAAGCATGCCTTTCTGAAATGATTTTTGCCATGAAATGACAAAAAATAAACAAAATGACAACAATTTTGTTTAAATTTTCTCTTGGTTGATAAATATTAGATACAATCCCATTAGGAAACAAATGTTTCATTTACATACATCTTCTCTTGTGAATGAAATTATTCCTTTTATGTAGAGTTGGACGATCTGCTCTCAAACTGATTCCAATTCACTTTAGTGAGTGAATGATCAGTAATCCAGTAAAACAGAACAGTAGTTCAACAGTTTCTGGAGAGCCCTTGTTGGCAAGCGTGCCAAAAAATGAGATTCCTCTTATGTAACCACTAGCATTTTTTCGTTTATTATTTACCAGAAATGTTTCTGACCCTGTATTTTTGTGTGTGCTATATATGTGCGCTTCTGGTTTGCTTGCAATCTATCTTGTATTGAAAAAACAAAACATTAAATAAGCAGATGCATGTTGGCAAAACTGACCACTTCTTTTTGCAAATGGATCGAGTCCCCCCATCCCCCTTTGGCTTCTCCTTCAATGTCCAACTCAGCTGAATCTCCATCCAAGATTTGACTCACTCTGAATTTGGATTTAGATCCAGCTTTTCTTCACCCTTGACTGCTTTACAAGTCTACAAGTAAATTAACATAAGAAAGCCGATTACAGTAAATAGATAGCGATGTATTTAAAAAATTTCATTTGCTTTAAGCAAACTTGCTGAAATGTAGGAGAATTTAAAGAAGGATAAACTCAAATTGAAACATGAAGTACCTACTACGTGGAATTCTACCTATGATATGTTGAAAAGGTTTTTCTTAAAGAAAGAGCATATAATTTCTTCCTTTGCTATATTAGGTGAAAAATCCTTTAACTTGTCAGATCAAGATTGGAATATTGTGAAACAGACAGCAGAGGTTTTAAAAATTTAGAACAAGGTAACACAAGAAGTGTCATTAAAACTGTTTCCCTTTCCAAAATAGAAATTTTAGTAAGATTAATCACACATCAGATGAAAGCTTACAAGGGCAGAAATAAAGGCATGGGGTTGTTACAACAAACAGAATTGTTAATTGATAATCTACTGAAAGGGTTTTCAGAATCATTCTTATCTCTAACAGCAAGCTAGTGATGCAGGCAAAGTTCCTGGATTTGAGCTTTAAAAAACAGGATGATCTGGAAATGATCTGAATTGTGAGAATGTTACAAAACTGTTGTAGTAGTATTGAAAACTTGAGGTGTGCATTGTCAGATGCCCCAAATGCAGCAATCAAATCGAATCGTAACATCTTGTGAGAACCCTTCCATATGGGAACAGTTCAATGACACTATCAACAATTTTCAAGGGACAAAGGACTTGGGATCTGCTGCAATAATGGAATTAAGATTTATCAGAGGACCGTTTACCTAGAAAGAATAACCCCTTATTGTGGTGGGTGTCCCAGAAGCTACTATATCCCATGGGGTATGAACTTATTCTAAAACGATTATGCATCCCGGCTACTTCAGTGCCCTGTGAATGCCATCTTTTTTAAAACAGGCCAAATATGTACTGAGGGGGGGGAACCACATGTCATCCGAGAAGTTCACTAAAATTATACTCATATACAAGACCTTGATTAGTTTTTATGGTGGACCAGTATATTTCATTACATCTTTAGTGTTACGTATTTGTGCATTGTATTTTTTGTAGTGTTGGTAGTTTTAATGTTAAGTATTTTTACAGTTTGCTTTGTAGTTGTAGCAGTGTTTGTATTTTACAATGTGCTTTGTAGTCTTTGCCAATTTTAGTAATAAAATAATGTAATCTTTAAAAAAAGTGAGTTTAATTTTCCTTATTTTTCAACTTTTTTAGCATTTTTTTCCTAGAATTTTATTGTTAGTTAGTTCTATGTAAAAAGATGATTTTAGGGAATCTCAAAACTACAGTTGGAAGAAATCAGTCCAGGAGTGAGTGGTTTGATTGATTCCACTGAGCCCACTCCTTGTTCAATTCTTTCTGTTTCCCCTCCCCCATCTTTGTGCACCACTTTTGATCCACTCCATTCCAAGTGCATTCAGCAATGTTGCTGTTAGTGAGCTGTGAATCATAAAAGAACTGATTCACTTCAATGAGTGAACAGTTCTCATCTGATCCCTTAAAAGAGTGGTTTTGTCCATCTCTACATTCATAGTCATCCACACCATTAAAGTATATTTTATAGTCTCAGCCTTTTTAAATATGCTTTTAATTTCACTACTGCAAATATTATTTATAACGAAAAAAATTTATTTTTGTAATCTTATGGACATAATGCTCAAATTGACCACTGTTATGGTTTTACAGACATCTGCAAACTCCACCCCAAACTCTTTCATTTCTGAAATTCCATATGCTGCATATTAGAGCAGTTTTAAAAAACTTTATATAATTTCAACTTGATAGTTAAAATACAATGGAAGATACAAAGCCTAAAATTGGTGAATGTAACCATTCCCATGATTCTAGTGTGAATATGGCACAAAGAAAATATTTTCAATTTAAATGTAAAATTATTTTCTTCCTTAGCTCTGACAGTAAGCACACAATTTTATATTAAAAAAGATTTCCAAATAAATATTATTTATGGTAGAAATTTGACTCAGAATTCTGAAGTACTTACAATTATCATCGACATCTTTGTCATCAATTTCTTCAGCAGCATAAGTGCTTTCATACGGAACGGACCGCACCTGTAATATTAAAAAGGGGGGGATTAGCTATCAAATAGAATTTTTAGCAGTTTTACTTTTGTGCCCAAGATAATCAGTAAAATATAAAATATTACATAAATTTGATACAATTTATGCATATTTTGTTCCCATACAAATATAACATCAATAATAGGTGATTTTTAACATAATAAATAACAAAGTTTGTAACTTATTTTCTGTTACTTAAGGCAAACTAAATAGTAAAAAATAAATTTTAGGAAGAGTACGAAGTGCGAACATTTTTTTCATAATTTGCACACACCTGCTCCAGCATTTCTGACGTTCCAGGAAGCATTTGTAGAATGCCTCTTTTAGAAGCACTGAGGGAATACATATTGGAAGCTCGCACTCTTCGTTATCATACTGACCCAACACCTGGATTGATAATATGCAGAACCACTAGGTGAACATTCCATTCACCTCTCATTCATATATCTCGTACCTCCGAAAAGCCATGATATTATTATTGATGTTTTAATGGCTATAGTTGAGCCATATCTTTGAGATTTCCGCTGCCCTACTCTTAAACAGAACATTGTGAGACTATACGTTGACCATGCTATCGTACATTTCTTCAATGCATAGAGTGTTCAAATCTTGCCTTGCCTAGCATGTTTACCAGACCTCTGACCAAATGAAAAATGTCCGGTCAAAGATTGTGCAGAGAAAAGCATGGTAAGAATCGCCAGCCAATAAAACCAAGAAACTATGACATAAGAACTAAAGTTCCATGGATTGCTATATCTTAAAATGCCATTGAAAGTCAGTTCAATACCATGTCCAGCTTTAAAACAGATATTATTGTTGTTGGAGGCAGATGCTTGAGTTGCTGATTTTTGCAAATTCCTTATCTTCAAATTATCTGATATTTTAATTATTTCATCTTTACATAATAACACACACTGGTGAAAATAATTAAAACAAACAACTCAAAAAAAGGTGCTGAGTTAATTCTATTCAGTGAAGTCAAAATTAAAAGTGTTTAGTAGGTAGCTAAAGGTCAATGTTATCACATACTCCGAGGAGCTTCTCTTTTGTTACTCAGGAATATGCAATTCCACCCCACCCCATTCTTTCGGAAAGTAAGAAAAGGAGTAAAAGTAGATGATTCAAATTTTTACTGCAAAGGACAGTGCGGATAGATGGATACAACTTCTGTCTGCATAAGGTAGAAAATGTCACTAAGAAAGCATATAATGTATTGTAAAAAATAGCATACAAATAGGAGAATGAAACCAACACAGGCACAGGTCTATTAAGACCTAAAAGTGGCCAAAGATATCAAGCCAGGAATATGCAAGTGGTTTCAAGATACTGGTGTGGTATGCAGAAGACTAAATCAAGGCTGAAAATCTGCCACAACGATCAGGGCCGTTTTTTTGCAACGACTGCGAAAAGAAATGAGGAAAACTGATGTCAACTCAGACTACAAAGGAGTCCGCTGTAGCTACAGAAACACCCACAATAAGCCAGAAAACATCTGTAAAAGGCAATGGTGGAATCAAGCCATGGGCAGATATTCTGAATGGCCAAACTGACCTATATATTTTTAGCAGTGAAACTATGAATGCTTCATGGTGAATACTGTGTTACCACAGAAACTTCTGGGCAATATATAGCATATAGAATTGCTGTGAAGCTTGAATTTCATTCAGGGGGGCCACAAACCTTATTAACTTTTTCTTACATATCTCTAAAAAGTTGTTACATCAACTTTTCTCTATCCATTTTATATCACACTGCCTATATATTTTTTATTTACTTTTTGAAAAACTAGGCATTCTGCATTTTGAAGATATGTCAGTCATGATAAAATAAAGATCTTGTAAAAGTTCTATATTCTTAGTAGCAAAACTACTCAAGTTACTTAAATTTTTATAGTTCCTTTAGCATGCCTAAAAAAAAAATTTTTTTTTTTTTTTTTTTTTTTTTTTTTTTTGATGAAGATATGATGGCAAACGTTGAGGATATTTGATCTGGTATAGATTCATAAAATATCTATAGCTTTGGCCTTTAGTTATCTTTAATGTCTGACATGCTCTTCACAAATGTGGATAACTCAGCAGAAGACTCTACTATAATTTATTGCCCAATTAGTAAAGACCTCACAAAATACATTGTAAAGATCTTTTTGGAAATTTGCCACGTAAGCTTTTAATGTTGAAATATGATATTTAATTTTTGAGTGACAATATTCCAGACACCTGCAGACTACATTTCAAACATTTATCACTTTAAAATACTGAACTCTAGAGACTTCAATTGGATACTTGCTTTGGTCTCAAACCTTCAGCTTCAATTTACAAATGCATGCATCTTGTCCCACCATTTAGAGTTGCCAGGAATTAATACAAAATTTCTTATTGGGTATGTTAAAACATACTTGCAAAATTGATTAGATTTGTATGCCACATTCAAGTTAGAAATCCAGCTGGTCCAACATCACACAGGCTTCTACTGTTAGTATAATTTATGAATATGGAAGGGAAAAAAATCTTGAAATATAGAAAAAAATTATATTCAGTATGTATAAAAAGCAGGATTTTTTTATTTTTCAACTAAATGCATAACATTCATGATATTTAATAATGCTAGACATCCTTCTTCCTGTTTAGCCCATAATAAAAATTTATGGGATCAATAGTTGTTCTGTCATATGCTTTGAAGTGAAGGGGATTCTAGGATAATATTAATAACACTGGCATCCAACCTACAACATGAACACGTAAATTAATTTTCATTAAATCTTCCATAATACATGTCCATTATTACCAAAAGCTTGATTCAGATAGCTATCTGAAATACATCTGCAAGAAATTTTGGTAGAAACATTAGAGCGAGTCTTCTTTTGTATAACTGATCATACCATTCATTCTGCCATTCAGTTACTCTAAGCTCAGTTACCATTCAATTACTTCAATTACGTATGGCATTGTTTTATTTTTGTGATGAAGTTGGTATTGGGGGGGGGATTAATTTCAACTGCGCCCTCAGTTTGCAGTGTTGCTGCCCTTCGGAATAATTTTTAAATAAACATACACATAATGACATTATGATGATGTATCTCAAATCTAGCAGAGAAAGAATATAAATCCGTATAACTTTTAATTTGCATTGGAAAAAATACAGACAGGTCAAATATTGAATTTCTTCATATTTAAAGCTGAATCATGAAAGTTTTTTATACTTTTCGAATATCAGATCTTTTAAATCCTTCAAATAATAAGAATAAGAAGAATGGGAGGAAAGAACCTAGTAATAAAAGTTTAAAATCTGTATTTAATAAAAAAAACCAACATGAGAATATACATTGTACACTTATAAGACAATGAAATTCTATTAAATGAAACATAAAATTAAATGCCTGAATCTTGATGTAGTTTGATAAACATATTTGAGTAACAGCTCAAATTTGAATTAACAGTTCAAAATTCAGCAATCATAGCTGAACTGCTATAGTTCAACTGGTAGGCAAATGAAATCAAGTTTGTGTTGCAGTGTTTATATACTTTGCTTTATAAAATCTTAGAAACATCCAAGAGCTATTTGCAACAGGTTATCTAGATCCAGAGTTATTCACATTATTTGAGAATTTCTGAGAGAGAACAGCGTACCAATTATTTTTGTGAGAAGTCTGGCAGATTTTATTGGATGCCATACTGAAACCATGTGACAAATGGCCCATATCATTTCACCATGGAGAATTTAATGATTCAGATAGTGCTGATATTGCAACAATTACAGATTTATTTATTTACCTGTGCACCAATAAAATTATTCATTCCAAAATTTTGAGTTAAAAATGTCCAAAGATTTCAAAAATGCTTAAATTTCTTTTAAATTAAAACTGGAACTAAGATTCAAGTTTTGGAAATTCAAATCTTTCTAAAGATTAGTGGAATCTAAGGATTTAAATGTCTCATACTTAAAGAGTAAAATGTAACTAATAATCATATTTTCATATAAAGAATTAATTATATAAGGGAAGATTTTGATCTGAGTTTGATCTTTGATGTTGGTCCACATGTTAACTGTATGGGTTGGTTAGTCGAATATGGCAAAACAGGGGCATACTGCCCAGGGTTTCTGATCAGGACAGCCTATGAAGAGTCTTAAGTTTTTAAGTACTTATATGTAGAAATATATATATATATATATATATATAAGGATAAAGCTAAAAAGTGGTCTGCATTGAAAATGTTGAAGTTTGTTGTGGAAATGGACTTCCTTGAATCAGTCCCTAACTAATAATTGGCACTAAAGACTTTTTTGACAGTGTGCGTTTTAGCTGCTTCTTGTGCAAGAAACTTTTCAAATTTGAAGTTGATTAAAAGCTATTTTCGATCAACAATGAGCCAAATAAGACTTACTGGTTTGGCAATCTTTTACACTGAAAATGCAGTATCTAAAAAACATCCATTTTGATGAAGCTATAAAAAATTTTTCAGAACTCAAAGCTCACAATGATCAGTTTTAGCTTTTTTTAATTAGTTAAAAAGAAAAATTTTGTCATAAAAAATCACAGATTAATAATCTATTTTAAATACATGTTTGTCTAATAGCCTTACCCTAAGGATATTTTTTCTAAATCATTTTAATAATTTTATTCCAGATTAAATAAATGTTAATTATATATTTGTATTGAAATTTTGTATAGTAATCATTCCAATAAGGGGGACCCCAAGGTGATTTCTGCCCCAGGCCTCGCCATCTGTAGGTCTACTACTGTAGCAAAGTACATAACGGCTATCTGCCTCAAGGCAGAGATGCCTTTTCTGGAGGACTTTCTAAAAGAAATTGCCTCATATTCACTTTATGCATGGGAACAAACCCCAAAAACCAAATATGTAGCCAACTGGTTTAACTGTATTTAAAATCAAAATGAACCACCAGAAATCAACACAGCTCAGCCAATGGAGAGGCACAGATTTTAAGAGGAAAACTAAATTATTTTCCCATACAGTCCCTAAAAAAAGCTA